TATATATATATATATTCAAACAAAAAGATGCAAATCTTGTGATCAAACACTGTGAGAATGTGAATGTCAGCTAACTACGCCAAGGTATAATGGGATCACAATCAGGACAAATGAACAAAGTACTTCCTCGTACATACTGACAGGGTGTACCCGAAAATGCTGGTCAAATCGAGCCAACAAAGAATACAAAACCCATCACATTAATTTATGAGACAAAATCTGTCTCATACTACTCATAACATCCGTTTAAAATTATCATTAGATCTAAGTGTCGATGTCTTCACACTCAGGAAGCCAGCCCACATTAAAAGACAAAGCCGAAGATGGAACTGTGGGGGAGGAGAAAGAAAGGAAGGACGAGATCCACCTGGAAGCAAGATCTTGAGGCAGATCCCATGCATTTGGGAAACAGCTGGCAGGGGGTGGAGAAGATTGCCCAGAACAGAGACAGGTGGAGGCCACACACACTACCAGGGTGAAAGGCAGATGATGATGATGATGATGATGATGATGATGATGATGATGATGATGATGATGATGATTATCAATGTCATACCTTTGTGATATCAGAAACTGAAAACTGCTCATCCTTTGTGGTCAGATATGGTAAACCTTCAGGAGATCGACCGTGACCACACACTTCAGAATACTCACTAGGGGGTGCTGAGGAAAAGAGGTGACCTGAAAATGAATTTGAGCTTGAACCCAAAATCATTCTAAAATATCAATTACTCAAAGCCAACACTATCTCATGAAAAACTTTGGCTGAAAATATTGACACTGTGGTCAAGCTAAAAGAGTCTAGTATGTTTTGTGGAAAGCAAGTTACATTTTATACAATTTCACAAAGGACACATACACATCGATAATTTTTTAATAAACCTGCTGCTAACAGGTTTTGAAGGAACAATATCTGAGCATAAATCTTTAAGACAAAAAAATCTTAAAATTAAAACCAAAAGTTTGGGGATTTAGAAAAAGTGGGAGCAGATGTGGCATTGGTAGCCTGGTGGCTAGGCTCTCTCACTCACAACCGTAAGGTCATGGGTTCGAATCCCGTCAGAGGCCCGACATTTTATCCTTGGGAAAGGCACTTTGCCTGAATTTTCCTCGCTTTACCCAGGTAGGAGTGAGTACGCTGCTATAGACAGAGAAAAATGTTGTCAGTTTGTTAGTGTTTGAGTGCATAATCAGCTGCTTGCACAGTATGCTTCCCAGGAAGCCGAGAATGTTTCTGAATATTCTATGGTCTGCTGGGGAAATAATATAGTGTTAAGTGCACAGAACTTGCTGTTGAGCGGTGATATGTGCTATACAAATGCTATTATTATTATGAATTATGATATAAAGAGGAGTTGGAAATAGTAACAGGAAAACTGACCCCCAATTAAACATGAAAGAACTGAAACGACCATGCCTTATATAAGAATGCAATCAAACCTTGCTCTTTTAGAGATCATGAGACAAAAGAGATAGCCTGTCACTAAAGTGAGAGACAATCTTACCTTCTGGCTTCAGTCTATACCCCCCCCCCCCCCCCACTCCTTTGTCTCTGATAATCGAGGTAAACTCACTTGCTGATTTGAACGAAACCCAGGCTTTTCCATTCCTCTCTCTGCAAAATAAAAAAGGCAGAGGGATGTGTAAGAGCCAAATATATTTACAGCCTAGAAAGTAACAATGTTTTGGTAGCCAAATTGTGGCTACTAACAGATGAGTGAAAATAGATTTTGTTGAAGTGACTTTGAAGATATGTGTATACAGCTTCAAAATATTTATGACAAGGACCTTGTTTCCCTGATCCTTCACATGCCATTTCGTCTCGCAGCTTTGCTTCACCTCTACAGCTCAACTCCTCACTTAGTCCGTCCTGTTCCTGTAAGTCATTATGGCCAAAATCTACATGAAAGCAGAGTGGTGTTGGGCCATTGAGGCCTACAGACATTTTTTATGCATTTAAAATGTTTCACTTAACTCAGAACACTTATCTTTTATAATCTTTGCACTTCTTAGAAATGGTGAGACTGAGGGAAAAACGATCAAAAGGCTGACTACTTCTTTTCCAGGGACCAGTCACAGAGACATTAAAAAAAGAATATCTTATATAAACATTGAGTGTAAAACCTTGCTAAAATGGTAAAAGTAAAGGGAAAATGGAAATAGCAAGGGAGAAATTGAATAACTTATAAGAGAGATCATGCAAAACACAAAGGAAATAAAACTCAGGTCCAGACCTTACTGACTACATCCAAGAATGTAGAACACGGTTCGGTTGTTAAAATACCACAGAAACTATTACGTGCACTTTAGTTTCTGACCAAGTTCCGATCTGACCTCCAATAGAAAGGTAAATCACCGTCAGTCGAACACTCCAGTATTCAACAACCATGAGGATAGTGCTGTCCCCCGCTGTGCCCATGTAACTATGCAACTCAACTTCGTTAATTTTTTACTACTTTCCATCACAACTTCTCCCTGTCTGATAAGCCTAGAAACCCATCCAACATCTCATTCTAAAAATAATCATCAGACCAACAAGACAATCCCACTTTTGCTCTCGAAATCTAACCAGTATTAAAGCATTAACACACCTTAAGATACAAGTGTTATTTCATTTTGAAATTGCAATTTCTACTCTTAATTCATTTTCAAATTTTGTTATCTAAAAAATCAAGCCCACAATTTTCACAATATTTGTTTGTTTGCCTCACTTTAGACAGCAAGTTCCATTTATGCAATTACCTGACCAAATCCATAGATCATTCATTTGACCAATGGACAGGGCAGCGTGTTATCTGGACAGGACCACAGTGTTTGTCAGCAGGACAGTGGACAAGAGATTAAAATTGCTAATAATAATTCAAATTCAGTTATAAAGAAATCCAAAATAATATCTATCAACATTCAAAAAGCACTTTCAAATTGAAGGTGCTTATTAAAGGTACAAAAGAGGTTTACAGCAGTGTTGGCACACAACAGAGATTTGATCCTATCCTACATCTCTGTTAATCAATGCTAGCTCTCAACTTGTCTCCAGTCACGGTACACTTAACCAAACACCGTACACCACTTTGGCCAATTCACCAACTACCCACAGTGTTCAAAGAAGTGCCAACAAACAACACTCTTGTTGCCAATTTGGTTTTTCTGTTGTGAACGACAAGACTGTCTTAAAAAGTAAAAATATATTACTTCTCTGCATATATGATTTATATTAATTATAAATCATTAAACCCAGTTACTACATGACATACTGTCAGTACATTTATTGTCAGCATGGCTCTAATCTTTTTTTTACCTTGAATTTTAAGCCACCCATGGTTGTGTTTGGCGTTCTATTTGTCGCTTTCACGTCAAACTATACTACAGACTTCAACAAAAGTTAGGGACAACTTGCAAACACTCTGTGAGTGGTCTTCTTGGGTCAACCTGAACGTGGATGTTTTTGGACTGATCCAGTGGCATGATGGTGCTGCCTCAGCCTCAGGCGGACAATGACATAGTTAAGTATGACACTGCGAGCCTTCTGGCAACTTCTCGGGCTCCAACTCCATTATCCAGCCACGCCATAGCTCTGGCACAAACAATCTCTCAGCTTTCGTCTTGGTGGTATGTTGATGTGATACCGGATTTTGCGCAAACGGTGGCTTATATTGCCAACAAAGTGAGCACAGTTTCGAGACCATGTGTCCGTTTATGACGAGCACCAGAAATTTTGACTGAGTAAAGTCCTTGGTGTCGCACACAAGTCGTGCTCATTTTGTAGGCTTGATCTAGATCTAGATTCTACGGATAAAACATCTATACCGAATATTTAAATTAAATCAGTATCGATATCCAGTAGTCTTTGCTTTTGTGTGATTTAGAGCTAGATATCTAGATCTAAATCTAGATCTATAACAAGATCTAGAACAAAACGGGACCGGGACAACAATTGTACAGTAGTGCCGTAGATCTTGATCTAGAATCTAGATTTCTAGATCTAGATCTAAAATCTAGATCTAGATTCTAGATTTAGATCAAGACTAGATCTAGTAGGCTACATGGTAATTAATTTGTAGCAGTAGATTCTAGAATTAGAATTATTTTTTAGAAAGTTGAAGTTGAAGAAGGCAAGGGCCAATTATAAAAATCAAAAAAGAAAACATAGAGATCTAGATTTAGATCTAACACAAATTCAAATCAATCTCTTGAATTGAATTACTGGTACTTCAAATGCAAACCTCACTGCGCTGTCCCAATCGCTTTGTAAAATAAGTCTATTGCTTGGCGTTGCCATTATTTCCATTCCGGGCCTACAAACCAAACACCTGCCTTGACTCTTCAAAAAGATGCTTGTTGTACAGAAAACGAAAGTAGGAGGATGAACTAATCTATAAACAGATCTTTAAGTTAGCCCACTGTTTTAATGTCAGAAGAATTGTTTCCTTGACTTATTACCTTGGATAGGCCTATAAGTTTATATAAATTCTTATAAACATTATTCAAATCTGGATTTCAGTTTTGTCAGAGACAAAAGTTCCATGAAAGAAGTTTCAAAGAAATTACTTCGTTTATTTCCTCCTGTGACCATCAACTCTGGTGTCAACCGGAAGTTAAAAAGATAAAAACATCCCGATGTTATGGCTTCGTACACAGAGTAGATGGGGCAGTTATTGGTGCTCGTTCTACTAGCCTAGAACCCAGATATTGACAGCTTTAGACTTAACTTTACAAAAGGTAAGAATCCTTGTTGGCGCAAAACGGTTTTGCTCTTTTCGATTAAGTTCAATGCACCATTTCAGTGCTTCATTTGCTAGATGGCCTGTCTAGTTTTTCCGTCTACTGACGGTGCCAATTCACCAGACTGCCATTTTATATCAATATCAATAATATAATCCTGTGATTGTGAAGAAGATTGACAATGAACATTGTTGTGTTTTCGATCTGTCAAGGATTGAGTTTTAGAGTCTACTAGGCCCTAGAGGTGAACTGTGGCCATTTATTTTAATCCTCTTCTTTTGCGCTTACCCCAAATCCAGTAACATCCTTAGGGCAGGAGGGGCTCTGACTCCCAGACCCCCATTTATTTTATTGGTGCTTTTTCGGTAGTTCCCACCCCCCTTATTTGAGCCTGACCTACATCTATATCTCTAGATCTATGCGTTTGATTCGCGGTGAGCTAAGACAACTGCAAAACATTAAATTATGGTAAAATTCAGGGGGGCATGCCCCCCTGAAACCCCCCTTCCTATTTTTATTAGGTCAGGGGGGCAAGCCCCCCTGAAACCCCCCTACTCTTGTGGCCCAAACCCGTGAATAAAATTGCGGGGTGGGAACTACCGAAAAAGCGCCCATTTATTTAGCTTGGTCACAGGTTGGTGTGTTGTTGTAATGTTGTGCTTTTGGCGTTTGGCAGTTTTTGACTACAAAATCATAGGGTAAGATTGTACTTTACCGGACCACCGGTCGGAACTACTTTCGCTATGGCACCCCTGGTTCCTAGTGGCCCGCTATTCTTCGTTTCCGAGCTCCCCTGCCCCTATTCACTCTCCTACTCAGTTTTCTACGTCCTCACTCTTCAACTGCCAGCAATCGACTGACGTCTCTTACCGGGTTTTTCAGTCATCACGACCGTGCCACCATGCCTTTTGACCCATGACCCTGACACCTTGAAGCTAATTGGTCAATCTAATCACGTGGTCCGGCAAAGTACAATGGAGGGCTAGAGATGCGCACGAGAGCTCATTTGCATAATCATAATTGCAACCCCCTCGGCCCTGCTCGCAACTTGGCGAGTATCTGCCCCGATTGTCCGCTCATGTTATTGTTTATAATAATATGTGTGTGTGAGTGTCTTTAAATTATTGTTGCCAGGGGGGCTAGCCCCCCTGAAACCCCCCCTCCCTCCACTGTTGTTACATTGATATGTAAACACGACTGTCCGCTCATGTTATTGTTTCGCATTTTTGTATGTTTTCTTTATTACAGTTTCCAGGGGGGCAAGCCCTCCTGAACCCCCCTCCCCCTCCCCACTGTTGGTATGATACACGGTGGTCCACCAAAGTTAAATCCCCTTCACACTCTCAACCACCAACTCTCGCTCACCTTGCTTCGCCAGTCGCCGCTGGCTTGCGCTGTGCGTGCGCGAAGTCGCCTGCGGAACTACCTTTTGTCCACACGCAGAGTACTATGACTATGAGAGTGTAGTTAGGCTAGGTGTGCGTAGTAATCACGGGCCGAGACGGGTGGTCCGGTAAAGTACAATCCAGCCAATCAATGTCATAAAGATAATTTTAATTGTGGGTATAGATCTAGAATGTCAGGGAAAAGAGAAGCTAGATCTAGTCTTTGCTTCACATGTGGGCAGGAAGTCGGGGAAGTACATGCGGCTAAGCATAGAACGACACACTTGCCTGATTGGTTGCTTATTTTAGCAATGTTATGTCATCGATGTCATCACGTCCTGGGATACCCACTGACTATTTTTAGAAGACCGTGGAGATACCAAACATTCTCTACTACGCTACCCATTACACGATTTTTGGAGATACCGCATGGAACGACATGTTGGGTCAGTGGCTTGACCTATTATTCGTATCGATGTTTTACGCAAGATAAAATTTCACACTTGCGGCTAACTACAGCACGTCGGCCGTGCTCTGGTGAGGGAAGATCGCTTAGATCGTTGATGCTCAGAGCTGTAAGAACACTGATGCTTGAAATTGAAATAGTAAACGCAACGCATCATATTATCACATGACTGGTACGTCTCCTGGAAAAATATTGCACCGAATGTCATGCCATGGTAGGTATACACGATGTTTGGTGCTATGCGTTTGGCTATGTTTAGATCATGTAGTCGTCTGACGTCACACAAGATGGCTGCCTTACCTAAAAATAGCTTGCGTCGTTCTATGTTTAGTCGCATGTGTCTAAAGTATTCTCCAATCGTAGCCATGCCAAAAATTTGGGCCAAAGTCAGTAGGTGTACTTAAGTACGGCTAGACAGCTGGGCTAGCCGTACTTATTCTTAGTATGATGGCTAGACTGACCTTAAAAAAAAATAAACCGACTGAATTTTAAAAATGAATTTTTAGTTTGCAGTACCTAAAGTATTTGTATTTGAGATGGAACCAGGTGCCTTAATGATATGACAGTGCATTATTTTAAACCTCCTGTTTTTTAATGTTAATAGGGCCTAAGATAAGTACGACTAGACTGTCAGGCTAGCCGTACATAATATTGATGGCTCAATTGTAAATGAAATTTTTAGTTTGCAATGCCTAAAGTATTTGTATTTCAGACAAAACCGAAAGGTGCCTTACTGACTTGCATGTATTTGAACCTGAATAATTACTAGATCTAGATCTAATGAGACCTGTGTACTTAACAGGTTTGAGTCGATAGGGCCAAACCTAGATCTAAGTACGACTAGACTGGTTCGTTAAAAAAATCAGAGAACCCTGCCCTACTTAGATCCTATGAATCACAATCAATTTGGATAGCTGAACTTTTCCTTTTTTACTGAGCAGTCACATAGCTATTTATAAGTATTTTATGGTAAGTTGTTATACTCTTTGGCTTTTGTTATTCTCACCAGTATCCATTTTATTCTCACCGCGGGTGAGAATAATTATATTGTTACCCTCACCCGGTCTTAGAATACAATGGATTTTTTTCTCACCTGGGTGTTTAGAACAGGTGGGCCTAGCCTAAATACATGTGAGCCTAATAGGATGATAAAAATTTGTGAAATAAGAGAGTGTAATTAAGTAGCAGGATAGAATAAGAAATGAAGAGCTGTGGGAAAGGACAGGACAAAAGGGTATAATAGAAGTAGAAATAGGACTAAGAAAGTGGCGTTGGATGGGACACACCTTTAAAAGGCCCAGCGGAAACAACACAAGTCAGTCATCGCAATGGAACCCACAGAGAGCACGAGGCAAGGGTAGGCCACTGGAAACATGGAGGAGATGTGTGGAAAGGGACATGAGAGAGATGAAGCTCACTTGGAACTAGCTAGGAAGGATGGCCCAGGACAGAAAATGGAAGGAGCTTGTATGTGACCTATATATACCCTGCCAGGGGTGAAAGGCACTGATGATGATGAATGATTACATGGTACCCTTAGCCAACTCTCCATGAGGCAGACAAATTTGGCCGCTGTCGGTAGACCGTGAGGCGGACGAAATGGACAACTCAATACCTCAGTTGTTGAAGATCGCAAAACCGGGCCAAGTTATTTGGAATATCAGAATGGCCAGGTCTTGTGGGCTTCGACAACTATGTGACCATAGCATTGTCGTGTTGTAAATTTTTCCATTTTCTACCAAAATTACTGCAAAATGAGCGATTTTAAGTAGCAATGCCAGTCAGGCTTTCCCGCGCGGCGAAAATTTGGTCCCCGCGAATTTTTGGACCGGGTCGTAGCGTATGTGACTAACTTTCTCAATCTCGGCCTGCTCTATTTCTGGCCCAATGTGAATGAAACTTGGCTACCGATCAGAAAATAGGGCAAACTAATGATATGTGGACGTTGAAGTTCGTACACATAAATTAACCTATACTTTTGGTGTCGGGAACACTTTCGTATCAGGTGTACCGAAAACTATAAGGAGCTTAAATTTCAATGCCGAGATGGTAATAGATCTATCTATCCTCTATAGTGAGCTCAAATTTGAATGTTCTGTGTCAAGTTGTTGTTTAGACCCGACCATAAATGAACGACTACCCCCCTATCCAAAGCGGCTTCTCTCGGAGACTGGCCATTTTCCCCTCACTCTTGCGGCAAATGTATGTGGCCTACAAATCCCCACATGACTATTCCGAGCCCGTTCATTGGTCACTTGAATTAGGGCAATGGCGGGCATGTGCATTCGGTTGTTTTTCTCTCTGTTCCCCTGTGACATCGCAATGGGGGTATTCCGAGACGAGCTTGTCTCGCCTCAGGGTGTTCGAATCTCAACTGGGAAAAAGAATTTTTAATTGTACGGCATGCAAGATTGAATTAACTTATCTTTTAAGGTTGGCATGGTCTAATGTCATCAAAGAAAGCTTTCACATTATTTAGTCACGCTGACAACATATTCTTAAAGATCTCGTGTTGTGATACGATGCTATAAATAAAATGGACTCTTCCGACACCCCTTTTTCGCAAAATTGTAATATAATATACACCAAAATTTTAACAAAATGACTACGAAATGGTTAGTAATTCTGACGGCAGAAATGATTTCTCCACCCAAAAACTCATCGGGGTGCCAAGTTTGTCTCGAACACTCCAATTAATTACAGAGATATCGTCGATTATCTTACAGAATCTGCTACTTCGTGGTCCACTGTTTAGGAGTATTTTCATATATGTGGGTCATCCATATTTTGTCGACCTTTACAACCCAATAACGTTTTAATTTATAAACCGATCCTTAAAATTCAAGAAGTATAATTCTTAGAATTGAAATTTTTTTCTTAGGTACCTAGTAAAAAAGGGCTCAAGCAAAAAATTACATTTTCATTGGCATTGCTATTTTAAGGATGATTTTGCTGAAACCAGTCAGTGAGGAGGAAATTTCAGATGAAGATGTCTGTGTGATTCTGTTGAATGTCTTTTGAACTGGTGTAAGCTGCACACAAGAAAGTGTGTTCAAAGACTAAAAAGTTTGGGATACTGCTTTGGGGTGGAAAAAAATGTTTTGAAGGAATTTTGTGTAAGTTAGATTTAGAATCTAGATATCTATAACAGATGATCAGTGTTGAATCCCAACATCCCATAATTTCTGTGATAGACTCTCAAAACCTATACAAAATAAAAAAGACTGAAATAAAAAACCCGAATGAGAATAATATGTGAAGATGTGAGAATACTCACACTGATTGTGAATAGTGTCTGTCTATAGAGACCCAACTTTTCCTCCTCTGCAAAATTCAGTTGTCTTGAAAGTTTCAGGGTAGAATTAAGGGTTTGGGTCATGGGATAATGGACTGATTGCAACGTTAAAAGTTGCTTGTCAATATAATTTAGTCGGAGGGGGGGGAGAGCCTGTTAGCAAAGCAAAGCAACCCTTAACCTTTATCTTTAATCCTTTTAATCTTATGTTTACGAAGAAGTGGTTGGGTATGATTTTAAAGTCAACTGTATGAACCCTGAAATTTTTTTACCAAGGAGTACACGTAAAACAGTGGAACTCGGATTCAACGAGGTCGCCGGGCCTGACCTAAAATCTCGTTAAATCCGAGTGTTCATTATAGCAAAACGAGATTTCGTGTAGTTAATTAGAGGCACTGAGTAAGTAATGTATAAAGAAAAGCCACAAGTAGTGCCTGAAATGCCTGCATATTATGAGCTGTGCAAAAAAAAAAGACTGATTCGTTCAAATGAACTTGCCTGTGTCATCTTGATTGTTTACCAAAAAGTTGTGTTGCTGTGTAGAGCCTAGCATGCGGCAACTTTTGATTCCATAGACCAGTGCACAATTTATTCGATAGATCTACGTCAAGACTAGCTTATCATTGTAACAATGGTTAGTTGCCGAGGGAGGGGGTTGTGGGGGGGGGGCTGACACTTTTGTCTGTGACATTTAAGGCCCGGACCGTTAGGTCCCCCCCCTCCCCGACACGCACATATAGCCACACGTTGCAGGCCGCCCATCCGACCCCAACACACGACAGAGTAGACACATGCGCGTGCCAACAACGCATGTGTGGTATGAAAAAAGGCCGCTTATTGGTCACATGCAATCGGCTAACTGAATAATGGTTCACGATGCAGGTGCAATGGATGGTTTCCGGAATAGATAAAGTTCGTTCTGTGAGAAAAATGAGTGAAGCCACGTCTGTCGGGGCTGTTCACCCTGAAAGCGACCTTGTAAAATCTGAGCTTGCTGATTTAAGTGCTTGTTGAATCCAGTTTATTTTTATTGATTTTAAAGAAGAAAAAAACGGGGAATCTATCTTATCTCGTTGAATCCGAGTTTTCGTTGAATCTGAGTTCCACTGTAATTTTTGTTGTATAAAGATATGCTAGACTCTGAGCATTTGGGTTAAACTGGAATTTCTGAGGTTTTCTCTTTTCAGCATAGTCTGTGACACCTTGTCTAGAAGACATTCAAAGCTGTCAGCTGGCTATATCTCTCATAAAGATAATGATGATGTAGTAAGATCTACTCTTTTATCGTCCATGAGTCGTGTTGTTGTGTCTTGAAAATTACTACACAGATAATTAGTTGCCTCGGTTTATTTCTTTTCACTTTTATATATCTTCATTTAAAAAAAATTTTTTTTTTTTTACACGTATAATTTTTGCTTGCTCAGCAGGTTTTGAAGAGCACACAGTCATGTTATCGCTCAAGAGAAAGATTGAACGGGAACTGCGGGTAAGTTTAATTAAATGGTGCCTGCCCTGATATATTAATATAGTGTAAAGCGCATAGAGCCTGCTGTTGAACGGGGATATGCGCTATACAAATGCTATCTATTATTATTATTATTATTATATGCAGTCCTGTCAAGGTCATCACTTTCTACAAAAATTTGTTTCAAACTCTAATGTTAGGTTCGCTTTTTTAACACCATATTGCGTGCATCAGATAATTGTTGGACAAGTCATCTATCTTTTGTCTGTAATGGCTCAGTAATGTTTAATTCACTGGTCAGATGTCACAATGACACCTTTGCCCATACTTTTCGACAGACCGATTGTGGCTTCCTATGATCTCTAAAAGTATGTTGTATACAATATGAAATGCCAGTCAGTCTCATTGTATATACAGTAGTCTGTGCCTAAGATCCCAGTGCTCGGGACCAAGGAACGTGTGGGATCTTAGCCAAACGAGATCTTAGGGGACACTTCAATGGAAAAACCCATGGTGACTCATGTTCAGGTCCAGGGTGGTTTTATGACTTATGGCGAGTAAAGAGTGGTCAATCTTGATGACCAATCACAGTGGCAATGCTCCTCCCCTTTACCTGTTAAAAATTTATAGCTTTCCATCTCTGACCTAGTTCTTCGGCCTTTCTCGCTACACACCATTGTGTTGTGACCACTCCAATTAAAATTTAGTCGGTCTCACAAATTCGGGAGTAGAGACAACTACTGCAATGGTCAAGGAAGAGTTCACAGTTGGGTGTGGTCTTGCCTGCAGTGAACTTATAGACCCTACCACCCAGCTGTGGAATTATTACATTTTCTTCATCATATTTTTAGTTCCCTTCACACTTTACAGTTGTCCCTATGCGCAAGGCAAATGTCACAATGTTAATGCAGTTTTTCTTCATTTCTGCTGGGACTATTCTTTGTTCCCCAGGATGATGTTCAAGTGCGGTTTCAACGGGCCGAGCAAGTGACCTCGGAGTTGGTCAACCGCCTGGGACTGGAAAAGGAGCTTGAGGTAAGCAGCTCTTTTATATTGTTGTTGTTGTAGAGATAAACAGATCTGAGACTCACTGTACAATGTGTTTATGTTGTCATTGTTGTTTTTTACAGTAGTCAACAGAATAGTATGTTTATATTGTCATCGTTGTAGCTTAGTTGGATTTGAGACTCACAGAACAGTGTGCTTACTTTGTCGAGCATCCGAGCAAAGGAATGAATGGAGAACTATGATCACTGATGTCTATAACAGAACCAGCGCTTGATGATGATAATATGAATATGATATGAGTGTATAAGAGTTAAGCAAGCAATTTTGTTATTTTATACTAGACAAATTGAATGCTAATTTTAAAGAAAAGAGATTGATCAATGATTGCACAAGCATAATTTTCAGGATATCCTCATTGGTAAGCTTAGACCTGTTTTAGTAATGGAACTAGATTTGTGGGAATCAGTTTTGTAGGCTAGAGAATCTGCAGTTGACAACCTTTAAAATCGAAGAATGAAATAAATTGACAAAGAATTGGAAGAATGTTTAAGTGGTTGTATTTTTTTTCTTTAGGCTTAAACATACATAACTTGTTCTGTCTTCCACAGGGCCATGAAGGCTGTGTCAATTGCCTTGAGTGGAATGAACGTGGAAGGTCAGTTGTTTGTGATTTTAGGAGAAATGGTATCGTGTTGACTTACCGACTTGCTTAATGGGGAGATAAGCTTGTGCATTTTTGAGTAGTGTGAAACATACAAAGAAGTTTGATAATGAACTGTGTTGCTGAGCAAATTCTTTAGTTAAATCCTCTCCTATTAGAGTGTACCTATATTATTCTGAAGGCATAGTAAACTGCTGGGGAGGGGGGGGGGGGGTTCTTCATTATTGTTCCATGTGAAGGAGCTGAAAAGTTTCAGGAAATCTATTTTGTCTTCTGTTACTTTGCTTAACCTGCACAGGGAGTTGATTATGTATAACAGTTGTAGCTTATGGATTTGTGAATGGAATTGTAGTTTTCTTCAACTGACTGTTGATTGAAATTTTGTTAAAAACATATCCTAAGGTTATGTTAACACGGTCTCTGATCTTTCAGTATGTTGGCTAGCGGCTCTGACGACCGCCATGTGATCCTGTGGGACCCATTCAAACACAAGACGATCACAAGCATCCGCACTGGTCACCAGGGCAACATTTTCTCAGTCAAGGTGAGCTTCAACTGGTAAACTTGTCTCCTGTTTATGTCTGAAGTATGGATATAAGTTTCAGTTCAAGTTATTGGAAAATTGTATGGCTGCCTGTACGAGGTACTTTTTCTTTCTGTTCCAATCTACGATATGTGTGTGTGCCTAAAGAAAGGTACCAAAAGTCGGATTTTGACCATTTTGAGTTAAGGGTTGTACCTTACAAGAAATTCAATGTTGAACACAGGGGTTTTGAATTTGCTAGATATCTCAAGTAGTTTTTGATATATTGCACATTTCGCGAGGTAGTTTATTAAAATATAATTTTGAGAAAATGAGCTTTTAAGTTTAACAAACGTCAGAACATGTACAAACTTAAAAAAAAACGATTATTTAAATGTATTTATTCATGGAAAATTCATTTCCAATTTGTCATTCAGTTGACATCGATATCATGAATGGAATTCAATGGAAAAATTAGGAGGGAAGAGAAAACATGCTTCAACAATAGATTTTAACACCTTTTAAAAGAAATTTTCATTTTTTGTTTTTATTATACACTTCCCTCAAAATAATTCAAAATAAAACAATTTAGAAGTCAAAGCATTAAAAACCCTTTGAGCACATTGTAAAAAAAAATGTTGGATCTATCATTTTTTTATGGAAACACATTTTGGCCAAAAAAGTTATTTTTGTCATTATGAGCCTGTAGCTCGAAACGGTCTGGGGCGACTTTTGATACCTTTCTCTAGGCGCACACACATATGTCTGATGTTGCACTTGTGCTATCTGTTTTAAAAAACCAGACTACTGGTATTAAATACATTTGTCTTCATTTTGACCTTTAACATCAACTCTTTTTATAGAATTAATTTTGTTACTGGCCTCTCCAAGTGTCACCTTGAACCTGTCACATTTACAACTGGTCTGGCCCAAATGTGAAACTTTTGTGGTGTCGAAAGAGTTATAGGCTGTTTATAGTAAACATAATAGCCAAATGTATTGATACTCTCTCTGAAATTGCACCGGTACACAGTCATACAGTCTCACTTATTGCCTTTTTTCTTTATTTGTTGTCTTTTTTTCGCCCCTCTCTCAATCCTTCATCATCATCATCCGGTGCCTTGCCGACTGGCATGGGCGATCATGGACCTCCACTTCCATCTGTCTTGCGTTGCAGCAATGGTTTCTGTTGTTCTTGCTGCTCCTAGCCTTGTTGTCAACTTGTCCAGTAGCTTTTCTCTCTGTCTACCTCCGCCTCTCTTTCCATCAAACTTGCCTGTTGTTACAATATTCTCCAATGCTTCTTTCCGCTTTGTGTGTCCTATAAAATTTGCCTGTCGCTTTCGTATATTCGTCATAAGCTGTCGTCTGCAATTTGCTTCTACCAAAACTTCTTCATTTGTTTGTTTGTTTTTCGAGCTGTCCATGGGATACGCTCTCAGTCCTTACACACCATTAAATATTATAATTTACGTACTGTGTGCACTAGTGGTTTGATAATTTTCCTTTTGACTTTTTAGTTTTTACCTCATTCGAACGACTCTCTGATCGTAACTGGGGCAGCCGACCATCGCATCAATGTGCATGACTTGAATCGCAAGGAAACCACTCACGTGTTCACCTACCACCTGGGTCGTGTGAAGCGCATCGCCACAGCTCCGAACATACCCTACATCTTCTGGAGTGCTGCGGAAGATGGAACAATCATGTAAGTTGGTCCCCTCCTCACTCCCATAATGTTAAGTCATGTGTGTTGCCCATGTCTGATGCTTATCCTCTAATCCTCTAAGCTGTAAAAATTATATAGTTCATGGTGGTTCATGTTTTTGTGTAGTGGTAGGCCAGTTTGAAATGAGATAGTCCTCAGCTTAGTTCTGAGACTTGTAACTTTTTCTTCACGAATAGTATGGCTTACATCATGCATATCAGTCTCCATCATACCCATTTTCTTTTAGCTTTTGTTAAAAGCTTCCCAGTGATTTAAAGATCCATTTTAATTCATGTTGCAGTTTCCAAAAAGAAAATGAAAATTTAGGAAATATTTTTGAAAGTTTTGGAGGTTTGAGAACAGAGGTTTTTATGTTGCAGACAATATTAGAAAACAATGCAGTGAAACATTTGTTAGATTTCAGAGAACCATTCTGTGGGATCTTGTTGAAGATGTAGAAGCAGATTTTAGTAATTATTTGAAGAAGGTTTTGAGAAGTCTTCCCAAGACCTCACCACCTGATATGCCCTAGGCTGCTATATTAAACCCTGTGTTTTCCCTCTATGTTATTTCAGGCAATTTGATCTGCGGTGCTCCAGCACCAGCACTACGGCCCCCAACAATGTCCTTGTGAACCTCAACGCTCATATGGGCCACAACACGGAGGCCAAGTGCCTGGCAATCAACCCCTTGCGGCCGGAGATGTTGGCTGTGGGTGCCAATGACCCGTATGTTCGAGTGTACGATCGCAGGATGCTTAACTGTAGCAACATGAAGATCCCAGTGGATTCTGTGAGCAGGTGGGTGAGGATGGGATGGCTGGAGACTGGGGAGGGGGGGGGAGAGAGAGAGAGAGAGAGAGAGAGAGAGAGAGAGAGAGAGAGAGAGAGAGAGGGGGGGGGAGGAGGGAAGAAAGAAAGGCAGATACAGAAAGTGGAGGAATGGTAAAAAGGCAGGAGAGAAGGGATGAGACTAACAAGTAGACCCTAGAGAAGTGGAAAAAGATAAGAAATGCAGAAAGAGGCTAGAGAGACCTATAATATTCTTGCTGAAAACAGCTGTCCCAGTGATGAGAAAACCATCAGTCATGTGAAATTTCAAGATGTGAGCAACATTTCCAGTTAATGGTGAGACACTTTTATATTTGAGAATGAGACACTTCCTTTTGAGATAGGCAGCAATGAGAAATAAGGAACTGGGAGAGGATATGTGAAGGGAGATGAGTACTTAATCAGTTGTTTAGACCAGAACACTTGCCTTAGTGGAAAAGAGTAGCAGGTCTATCAGTTGGTAACAAAGCAATATGTCTCTTTAAAAAAATCAACAGCCTGAGGTGTTCGTAACTGTTTGGATTAAATGCCTCTTTCAGCACTTTAAGACTATATAAGAGGCAGGAGCTTCGATGTAAACATCCATTTCTGAGAGAGAGGAATATGGTAGAAAGCTTCAAAAACTAGTCATAGACAATTTGGTGTTTGTTCAGTAACCACATGTCACTTGTAATTCTTTTTAGCCAGGATATGTTGGAATTGAACTTGAAATCATTTACCATTTACATCAGGTGGCTCGGAACCTTAACCAGTTTATTTATTACTTTCGTCAACTGCGACCCTAGCCAGTTCATTTAGTACTTCCATCAGCTCTGCACCATAGCTAGATCATTGATTACTTTCAGCTGTTCTGACCCTAACCAGTTCCTTGTTTTGCATCAGGCAGCTTGAGATCCTAGCCAAGTAGGCCTACTTGATTTCTTCAGGTGGAGAAAATTCAAGTTTTTTTCTCCAGGTAACTTTTTTTTCCCAAGAAATACCTATACCCATGCCAGGGTGTTGTCAACATTATTGTCAAGTGTACGATCTGTTGAGTGAATAGCCCCCTTGGTGAACAATTCTGTGTATGACAGTGAGTGCGACTATGATGCAGAATGTTTTGTAAGTAACATGGTCACATTTTTTGCAGATACCCTTGGGATCACAGTCGTTTGGAAGACATGGAAGGAGAATCTTACGACTTACCGGCCGGCAGTGCACAGTATTACATCGCAGGTGAGTTCCTCTATTCTATGCATAGCGTTACATTGCATATTTAGTTTACTACTCAAATGTATTTTAAAACTTAACATTCACAGTTGTTGTGGCTGCCAGTTAATCGCTAATTTTCCCCCAAAAAATTCTGGTTCATAAAGTGTGAGTCCTTGAAATTTTGCAGGAGCTATTGGTTCCACTGCTTATATCTCTGTCCTTAATGTGTGTTAACCTGAGAGTAGAAAGGAAGATGGATTTCTTGGTCACAAAATGTAGTGGGCTTTGATCCTTGACTTATTAGATTATTTTGCAATTTGTACTTTAGGTGTTTATAGATATATGGAAATCCCATAACTGACTTTTTCAGTTGTTACAGCTTATGTGTTTTAATGTCTCTGAATGCCTGTTTAAAGTAGTTCAATGTCACTTGCATACACGGCATGGATTTGATCTCTTGCCCCAAACCCAGGACACTTGCCTCAAAAACAACAAGACAACAAACGGAGGTACCGTTCATTAGCATCCACCTACTTGACCTTTGGCCCGGACGGCTCTGAGCTGCTAGTGAATTTGGGCGGGGAGCAGATTTATCTGTTTGACATCAACAACAAGATTCGGCCACACCACTTTGACCTGTCACTTCTCAGTTCCAATGGATTTGTCAAAGGTTTGGAGTTTTCTTACTGGGTGGTTAGCAGGTGCTCTGATGTGGTTTGCTCCTTCTTTCCTATCAAACATCTATCGTCCTTATCTTCCCTCCTTCCTTTATGTGTTTGTTTCTCTCTCGTAACACCTCTAATCTTCAGCCCTTATGTGACTTTATTGTGTTGACCTTGCTTGGTGCTGATAACTCTTACTAAAACTAAAAGGAGGTTTCTTTGCTTTTCATTTATGTGTTGTGTTGTTGCTTTTTAAGCACTGAAGATGTCATTGTTATCTCTCCCATTTTTTTTTCCGCTTCTGGATTGTTGACTTTCTGAAAAGAAATGTGAATGAAACTGAGTTCTTTATCTCAAGAAATTAAAGTGAGATCGACAGTGAATGCTCTCTAACTTTTCACTACCTTTGGGTACATTTAATTTCTAGGACTAACACAACATAGACAGTGGGATTTGTAAGTGTTTCCCTTTTACATTGAGGACTGATTATGTTGGGGGTTTTCTACATTCTGTATATTGGAGTTGTGGGGGGGGGGGGGGGGGGGGGGGGATGTTAGGCCTTGTATATCGAGTGAGATTTTATAAAAATTTTACCAACTGGATACTGTCACAATATAATGTATATGATGGTAACAAAACTGTTATTGTAAAGCTCTGTAAAACAGTTGTTGGAAAGTGGCACCAGCTGGTTATTTCTTTCTTAAACTTCTGATACAGTCCATGCCGGCTTTAAGCACGGTCATCGGGAGAAAGCATATGCATGCTTAATGCCAAAGCGTGCTTGAGTGCGAAGTAGGCATTGTCATAACCCAGAGATTTTTATGTTGAAAATTTCCTGAGCTATTTCCCGTTTTTCGTAAAAAGTGGTAGCCCAAAAGTGTGCGCTGTCATTTTTACCGGCCATAGTAGTTTTTGTTTGTTTTGTTTTGTGGTCGAAAGGGAAAGGAAAACTTAATTGAGACGGCCAGTCACAATACAGCACACTAGGCCTACACACTGAATGTGCGTACCAGTGGCTGCTCTGCCACATTCATACCACTGCCTTCATTCTACCTCGCGCGTCATACTTAAAATCAGGATTATCGGATAGGGAGGGGCAAAGGTGAAATTGCAGCCAGCCTCCTTTTCTTGTCTCCGCTACTCTCTCTGTATTTTTTGTCTGTGTGTTGCTTTGTCAAAGGCTAGATCCTAGTCAACGTGTGCGGCTGTGTGCATCTCTCTGCCTTCCTCTCCGCGCGTGTGAGTGTGTCTCCATCACTTGTGTTCTTTGTGTTTCTCTTACACACTCCACTTCTTCGGTGAAGACTATGTTTGAACTTCGATGGGTCATCCTGAAAGTATTCACTGTCTTGTAAATGAAGCGTGCCTGAAGCCGAAGTAACCGTGCTTAAAGGCGTGTGAATTATACAGCAAAAATTCGGTAAGAGCCATTTAGCGTGCTTGAGTGAGAAACGTGCTTTATGCCGGCATGCTTAAAGCCGGCACGTACTGTACTTTTCTTGTTACAAATGACTTGAATGGCCATTATGCCAATGAACTTCTTTACAACTTTCAAAGCAGTTCTCATAAATGATCTTAATTATGTCAATTGGGGTGTAAAATATTTACAATGAGTTACAGAGTTGTTTCTCTTATTTTTTCAGAGGCCACAGCACCTACAAATGGTTTCAACATGCACGTAAATGGTACCAATGGGGTGTGCAAGACCATGTGTTCCTCCTCCTCCTCCTCATCCTCGTTACCAGCGTCTTCCTCCTCCCATTCCTCTCACACCTCCTCCTCCTCCATCCCTCCCTCCCTCTCATCATCCTCCTCCTCCAGCAGCAGACACTGTGATCGCAGCGACAACCCTCACGACCTCCCAAACAAAAGGTTTGTTTTTGTTCTCGTCTAGCATTTTTCTTGATGTCTTATGATGTTTAGTAAGTCATTTTAAAGATGAAACTGTTCTTTTTCCACTATCAGATCCCCATACTCTGGGACTATGCTAAATAAGAGGGGGGGGGGGGGGAGGTTAGCTACTGGTTTACCTACCCCATCTGACTGATGGAGGGATAGACTGCTTTTTCCATAGGGCTAAAAGAAAAAGGGCGGAAAAGTAATAAATTTTGTCAGCACACCTCACAATTTACGAGGGGCATACCAAAAGTTTTTTTTAACCTGACCATGAAGGAATAAAGGTAGAAAGCTGAAATTTGGTACTAACCTTAATCTTTCTCTATGTAGTCGCCTCCTACAGTTATACGTTTTTGCCATCGGTGTACAACCTTGAAAAGACCTTGAGAATAGAAGACCCTCTCTTTGTCAAAAAACCAACCCCCTATCGCTTCTTTGACCTCATCGTCACTTTCAAAATGCCTTCCTTTTAAGTCCTTTTTCAGTTTGGGGAATTAAAAAAAGTTGGGCAGGGCTAAATCTGGAGAATATGGCGGATGTGGCAAAATTCCATAGCCATTTTCTCGCTCAGTTTCTGCAGCTTTTCTTGAAGTGGGAGCTGGCTTGTTGTCGTGAAGCAGCTAAATGTCTTTTCGGATCTTTCCCCTGCGGTTTTCTTTTATAGCCTCTCATAATTTTTTTTTATCTGGTTAAAATAATGGTCTCTAATGATCGTATGTCCATTTTCAAGATAGTCTGTCATTATCACCCCTTCTTGGTCTGAAAAAACTTGATAGCATCACTTTTCCACTTGATGGCTTCAACTTTGCCTTCTTTGCTGTTGGAGACGAAGGCGATTTCCAATGTATTGATGCAGATTTTGACTCATGATCGTAGTGGTGGACCCATGTTTCATCCATGGTTACAAGTCTTTAAAAGAATTTACTTTCATCCTTTTCATACAGACCAAGCAATTTTTGACAACAATCCGTACATTGCCCTTTTTAAGGAGGAGTCAACAAGCGTGGGCCCCATCTTGTCGAAACCTTGGTCATATTCAATTGTTCATTTAAGATTCGTTCAACTGAACCAATGCTAAGCCTATTTTCTTTGCTCAAACGTTCAACTGTCATCCGCCTATCAGACAGCACAAGTTTCTTGATTTTCAACACATTATTTTCTGTTGTTGCTGTCCCTTGGCAACCATCACGGCGGCCATCTTCAATGTCCATGAATCGGCATTTAAATTTTTTACACCAAAGTTTTTATCACAGCATAGGATGGACTGTCAGTTCCAAAAACGGCATGCATCTCCGTAAAAATATCCTGTATTTGCTTGCTTTGCGAGAGCAAAACCTTTATTACTGCCCTGTGCTCAATTTCTCCATTTTTATGTTGAAACTGGAGAACAACATACTCTCATTCACTTACAGTGTGCTGGTGTTAAAACCAGTAATTGGAAATTCCCCAAAATTTACATGCATTCTAGGAAGATGATTGTTGGGTTTCTATCTTGATTCCTTCAAGGTCAGGTAAAAAAACCTTTTGGTTTGCCTCTTGTAAACTTGGAGATGATTTGAATATGACAGTTGTTTTGACATTTTCGATCACGACATTGTGTTTTTTTTTAATTTCCAGGCATAAAGGAGAGTCAAAGCAGCTCAGTCCTCTTGTTGAGAGTTTGAAACGACACGCCAATGACCTTTTTGAGCAAAAGGAGTACAAGCAGGCAATAGATGTGTACAATCAGGCCATCGCTAGGTGCAACACTGCTGCAGTATTGTATGGAAATCGTGCAGCGGCGTACTTGAGAAGAAAATGGTTAATTGCATGATTGTAAATGTGTCATGATGTGGTAGAATCAGGCGCTAGTCAATTTTGGTTCATTTGGAGTTATTGGTATCATCTAAAAGCTAATTCACTTGCCGTACTTTCAATTTTTTAAAATACCTGTCTCGAATAGAAGTCGAAATATTTGCGATTGAAGGAGGTGGGGGGTAGCATGGTTTCAGAGCTAAAATTATTGAGAAAATGGCCGACAAAGTTTCCTAACTTCTATAGCTTGAGAGCCCTTGAACACTAAAAATCTACTTATTTTGTGCCATTAACCTACATTTTTCAGTAAAATCCACATGGTAATGTGTTTTTATATGGACATAAAAGATGCGGAGCCAAAAAACAAAAATTTGATAAAAATTGCCACACTGGAGGAAAAATGGCAGTTTCTTCGATTTCATTATTTTGACGAGCGCTGATTTCACCACGATGCCTCAATGTTTTATGCTCTTCGTGATAATGTAGATCTTTTTGGAGTTTGGTTGCTTTGACCCTGCCCTGGACTAAATGGATTACAACATTCCAACAAAGAGATTTTCGACAAGATAATTTCCCTACTTTGATGTTGAACTCATGTTCTCTGCATGCAACAGTGCAGTGCCTAATCATTACACAACAAATGCTGGTTCAGCAGATATATTGGTTATTTAGGTTATAATACAATCAGTGAATGAAACTCATTTTTTTGTCTTGAAATATATCAAGGCTGTTTTGTGTAGCAGGGTCCTAGCTCCTGACCTCCTTTTCTGTTGATGTGTCCAGTAAAAACAAGATGTGTCTCTGTCATACATTCACTAAGTCATTTGTGGTATTCATTTTGTCAGCTAGCTGTGGTATTTTTTTAAGGGGGGCTACCAGACAACTTCAGTGTAAGAAGCTATTGTAGTTTACCTGCTCTAGCTTACTTTGGATAATTATCATTTGACGATTCCTTTGTCTGCGTTAGTAGTGGGTAGTTGCTTAATTCTTTAAACCCGCAATTTTGTGCACATTTTATCTGATTATTTTTTGGGGGGAGTGGGGTGTTGTATCAGGCCCAAGATGTACAGGAGTATAATCTTGTCATACCTCAGATCAAAGGATTTTTTATGCCGAAGCAGAAAATATAGGAATAATGAATGTGCATCATGTCTTTGTTGGGTAAAATATATTTATACACGGGACCAAAAAAAAATCATAATTTTATTCTTATTCCCATCTAGATCTATTTCTTCATCACTCTCTTTACCACAGCAGTCCAAGCTCCATATCGATATTATAACTACCAAATTTTCAATTTTGCTTTTTGACCACTGTTTTTTTTTTTGTTACAGGGACGGAGACTTGTACGCTGCCCTCCGAGACTGCTACCAGGCCCTGACCCTTGACCCCTATCACATGAAGGCTCACTACCGTCTGGCCAGGTGTCTGCACGAGCTGTGTTGGAGTCAGGAGGCCTTCGACTGTCTTGTCCACTTTAAGCATCGGTTCCCTGACCACGCCAAGAGCCACTCTTGTGAAGCGCTGGAGAGAGAAATCAAAGCGGCCATTTTTTCACAAGTGCAAGGTGGGCACTGGGGAAACCAGTATATTAGGAGGGGGAAGGAAGGGTAGATGTTGTTGATATGCTCTTTCTGGCTGTAATAATCGTTTAATACTTACTTGTAATTGTAAGGGTTTAACATACTTTTCAACTCTGTAAGGTTATTTTAGAGGCAGAACATACAAATTTCACTTTCTTCTCCAGTGGGACCATGCCTGATGGTTGGAGAGCGTAGGAAACTTCTTGATACCATGAAGTTCAAGAATACCACATCTGGAATTTGAACCAGGGTCCTGCATGATACCATTTGAGTCAGCAGATCATTTTTGTGTAATTGGGTTATTACTATTGTAGTATGTTGTTAATGATGTAAAAAGAAAGGAAAAGCTTAAAAGACGCTTTGTGTTTTGTGTGTTTCACATACAGTAAAGTTTAGATAGGCCTACAACATACTTGGACTCTACGTATCTTGTTTGTGCGCTTCTCCTTACTAAATCTAAAACTAAGCTATAGCACTCAAAATCATAAACGATACTTATTTAGAGAAACTGTTCCCTTAACTTCCAGATGCGGAAGAGAGCAGCGAAGGTCGCGGGGAGGACAGCATGCGACATTCAAGCCCTCGGCTAGAGTCGGAGTCAGAGAAAGACTTGCAGAAGAATGCTTGTGACTACTCATTGAGATTCTGCGGACACTGCAACACTACCACAGATATCAAGGAAGCCAACTTCTTTGGCAGGTCAGTAGACTCTAGTGGACCATAATTGATTGTTAGTATTTTATGCCTCCATCAGCACAATTTAGTCCATTTAGACAGCTTCCTCTTTTGATCTTGCCTGTCGGGGCCAACCGAGGCTTATGGGGATGCAGCAGAGGAAGGGAGAGACAGGCTAAGATAATCTTCCCGTACACGGGAATTGAGTTCTTATGTTGTATATATACAACTGTAAAGAACATTACACCATAGAGTCACACAGTGGGTCACTAATAGGGCTTTCCAAACCAATTTTCTGCAGGGTAATGTTCAATGCTTGCACTGTGTATTTGTTGTAATTAATACAAGCATGTCTCGATCTTTGGTTGAAAGAGGTTAAAGATTTTTTTAAATCTTTGGAATGAACAAGTAGGGAGGCAGGCTGCTTCTCAGACTCCTATTGGTGCGGGTCAAGGCTGTGTAGGATAATTCTCAATTATATGGTGGGGATGATCGATGAAGTATCTTCCCTGAGTGCTAGTGGAACCTTAAGTATGCTGATGCCAAGAAAGTGCACTTCCACCAGTGGAAATGTAACTTTTCAATGGTCAAATTATAGCTAACTGTTCTCTGCCATAATTGATCTCATTAGATATAGCAGAAGCCACGTGTCATCTAAATTCTTATTTCTTCCAATTTGCTTAAGAAATGGAGTCAAAATTGTCAAAGACGGCCGCCCATTGTCAAGGAGAAAAGTGGTTGACTTCGGTTGAATTAAGTTGACATCTTGAACAGTGTCTTTTTTTTTTAAAGACGCTTTGGGGGGGGGAGTGGTCATTTGTACAAATGAACAAATGATTGTCTTGGACAGGTGGCAATTTAAGTAGGTTCAACTTTATTCTCCTCTACAGATGCATTGATGGTTGTCAGACATTGGGGGATGAACTATATTTTTTATTATCATCATTATTGTTATTATAAGTGGAACTCTCGTCCTTTGTACTCAAGGCAAAGAAGCACCACAAGTGGTAGTGGGCATGGTGCTTGGGCAGAGGGCTATTAAAAAGTAGTCCTCATTTTTGTTCTTCTGTGTCCAGCAACGGCCAATACATTATGGTGGGTGGTTGGCGGGTGCTCTAGTGTGGTTTGCTTCTTCTTTCCTATCAAACATCTATCGTCCTTATCTCCCCTCCTTCTCTTTTATGTTTGTTACTCTCTTGTTACACCTCTAATTTTCCTGCGCTCATATGACCTTATGCAGTTGCGAGCGTCGTAAAACCTCTACTAAAACAACAATACAATATGGTATGGGAAGTGGTCATTTGTACATGTGATTGTCTTGGGCTGGGAACCATTAAGCAGTCCATTATCCTTGTTCTTCTGTGTCAAGCAATGGCCAGTACATTGTGGCCGGCTCTGACGATGGATCATTCTTCATCTGGGACAAGAAGACCACCAACATCATGCGAGTACTGCGTGGCGATGAGTCCATAGTCAACTGCCTGCAGCCACACCCGTGTTCCTGTCTCCTAGCAACCAGTGGCATTGACCACGTAGTGCGCTTGTGGAGCCCTCGGCCAGAGGTAAAAGTTTGTGTGCACTGTTCAACGCCGTCTTTTTGTATTGTACTTATTTTTGTCTTGTGAGGTCATTAGTATTTGGGTGGTTGATGGGTGCTCTGGTGTGGTTTGCTCTTCTTTCTTATCAAATATAATATCATCCTTATCTCTCCTCCTTCTTTTTGTTGTATGCTGCACTCTTGCAGCACTTCTAATCTTTGGCCCTTATATGACCTAATTGTGTTGCAAGTGCAGTAAAACTGTCACTAAAATTTAAACATCATTTGTATCATGATGTGGGTGGGGAATGCATGTTTGTTTTTAAGAGTAGAATGTTTTCATGTGGAATGGAAGTGATAGAGGCAGGAGGGAAAAATGTGGCTATGTTCATTCCTTACTCGCAACACTCAGTCTGTCACTGTTGAATCTGGGATTGGGTTGGTGTGTGTGCATTTCTTTGAGAGGTGGGGGTGAAGAGATGTGTTGCCATAGTCATTTCTTTCCCAGTTCATATCCATTGTCCATCAGAGCTGAAAGAGTCTTGTCTGGTTTTTCTCAAAAAAGTTTGTAAATTATTTTCGTCCATTTGGCACAATATAGATCATTTAGGAAGCTGGCTGCCTCTGCTCTGACTGCAGGGTCAATTTGAGCTAATTGGGATGCTTTGTTCTTGCAGAAATATAGACATACTCAATGAAATAAACTTTCCTTTGCAATTTGCATGAATGGTAAAAGCCTAGCCATTACACCCAAGATGCTGGTATTTTCTCTGCTATTCCTCTTGACTGAATTTACTGATGTGACCATGAATGCACTACAACTGTTTTGAAAGTGAGTAGTTGAAGGATGCCACTGGTAGGTTCTACTTCTTTTCTTTCCATCTGTTTCTGTCTGTCCGTCATGCTTTTTCCCTGTACTAAATGACTACTATTGTGTCGATGTGCCTTTTTTAAAACTCTGATTAACAAATACTAAGCCATTTTGAACTGTTTGGAGACACACACACTCACACAAACACAGAGAGAGTTTTTGAAACTGTTCTCTCGGAATGTCACCAGGACGGAAGTGAGAATGACAGAGAGGTCAACAACAGCGACGATGCAGCCTTAGCCAATCAGAAACGCATGAATGCCGACCCAGTGGAGGTGATGTTGATGAACATGGGCTACCGATTCACCGGGTTTCTGGACATGGATGAGGAGGAAGGTGGGCAGGGAGATGGAGCTGCCAACTGCCGCACGACATGAAGTGACAGCGATAGCCTGACTTGACACTGACTTTGACGATAAGAGGTGACTGTGATGACCAGATGTGACACTGACTTTGACAACATGAGGTGACATGAACTCTGATTACATTGTAAAAGTAAAGTATAGTATTTCTTTACTTTTACTTTACTAGTAAGTGGGATGGCACTGTTAGTACTGTTCGTGTAATAAGTGACACACTCTGACGACATTAGGTCACAATGACAACATGACAGAGCTCTGACAGCATTGTGATGACATGACAGTGTTCTGGTGACAGGATGTGACACTGACAACACAAGATGGCAGGGACATCGTGAGGTGGCCCTGATGATGACATGAGGCTGGTCTGACAATTCTGACACGATGGACATGAGGTGGCTCTGATGAGCCCCGACACTGCTGTGATTTTTCAAACTGATGTTTTTGTATGGTGTGACTTTTGTGTTGAATTACACCAGAGCGTAGCTGTGTGACTGGAATAATGATGTATTTCACTGTTTGTATGAGGAGAAAGATCTGTCCAGCTCTCTAAGAGTGTGTGTCCTGCCACTTTCCTTCCTAGTGGCATTTTATTATTAAAGTTCAGGGGGGGAAGTAGTACTCCGTTGCAATAAAACTGATTTGTCAACTTGGTGGTTCAGGTAAAAGTGATCAGTCCACCTTGAGGATTGTTTTCATTTATTCTGTACTTGTTACTGGTATTTTATTGCAAGTAAGTAAAGAGAAGAAACGGGGTCAAGCACTGGAAAATAAGTATATAGAACAAGTTCTTTCCATTGGTTGTAGTTGTAATGAATCTGAGAATGCCGTTTCTGTTTCTACAGTGAAGTGATGAAAAGTGTTCTCGATTTCTTAACTCTTGCTGTTTTGCTACTGTTCAGTCAAGTTATTTTCACAATGTTCCAGTTCTACTGCTTCTGTCAGTGCTGGCTAATGTTTTCCAAGGTACGGTACAAATTCATGCCAAAAACTGCTCAATTTTCTGCAGACTGAAAAAAAACAACCCTTGCTTTCCTTCCAAGAGGTGGAAACTCGTACGTCTCCTTTATTTCAGTCTAGCGGTAGCTTTAGCTGTCTCATGGGTTCCTTTGCAAGTTTTTACTTTCTTTCAGTTTCTGTGTTGATACAAGGTGGTGCTTGGTATGTAGGCTGATTGAGTAATGAGTGTAAAGTGCTGTGAAGTCATTATTGTTTGCCAGAGGCTGTAAGTGGTACAATCTTGCTTACATTTTATATGGATGCGCAAGGGTTTGCTTTTTTTAGTTTCAGCCTGATTCACTAGACTCCAATTAGGATTTTTTTTAAGCTGACTGTTTCTATTGTATTATTTGTTCTAGACTTATTTGTGTAACCATTCAGTTTTTGCTAACCAACTGAGTGCTTGGGTGAGATAGGAAGTGTTGTTTGAAGTTTGGTTGTTTTTTTGTTGGGTTTTGTATTTTGTTGGGTTTTTTTTTTTTTGGGGGGGGGGGCAGACTTGGTATAGTTGAACACAGATAACTCAGACATGCAAAACTTGAATTCACGGACAGCCGGAACAGCTATACTGTGTTTATATTTGCAGCACTGTTTTCTTGAACTCCTTATCTCAAAAAGCCCAATCAAAAAATTTTCTAACAATTTTCTCGAATTGAAATGTCAGGATGGAAAACAAACGCACCTATCATCATCAAGAGTATCAGGTTAGACTTAGATGAGCCCACCAGGCTCGTCCCCCCTACAGCATGATACACATACTGCTGGTATCAAGACGTATTATGGCATATGATAATACATATACTTATAAGGCATTGGAACTTCTGTGAATCTAGTCATGTGAGGGTGTGTCGTGGGGTGTGATTGAAGACAGTTTGGTGCTGCATTGGGCTGTATGGTTTGTGAATTGATTTTGCACTTGTGTGTATGTAGTTGTTTGAGTGTGAAAGTATAAATATTTTGACGTGATTACACAAGAGGGGAGGGTAGTGTACACATGGTCATGATGGTGATCTGGAGTAAGAGCAATTTATTTTTAATAGTAAGGCTCATTAGCATCACTCTCTTCCTTTCTTTGACACCTAAAAAGGTGCACACACTATCCATTTTCATATATCCTTTTATCGATCAATATAAAAACACTAGTACAGGTAGGCCTACTTCCCTTGATTTTCTAGTGTATCTTTATCTTTCGTTATCAGTTTATTTGAATTACGGTTGTGTCGAATAAATTTGTCAACCCCTGGATGTGTTAGAGGTATCTATGCTCGACTGTATGTTTGTTTTCAAGTTACAGGTTTGTGAGAGAGATAACCCTGAGCATATGAATTTTGATGTCTGCCATGCAGACCATAATATAAGTATATATATGTAACACAAGTACGCCTATCTCTTTTATGTCTGGGAGATAAATTCTGATAATAAGGGTATGAAAGATTTGTTAGAACAACAAAAGATTCAAAAGAATGGCCTGTGAAGCATTACAAAGTTCTTATTATTTGGATTTTTTTTGTTGTGTATTCTGATTTTTGTTGGGTTTTCTTAAGTTTTGTAACATGATTTTTGTGAGAAAATGCTTTATTTCAATTTCAAAGCTAGTTTGTATTTGCTGCTGCTATGTCTTCAGTTTTCACCACAGATGGTTATGCTTGTCCGTAAATAGTTATCTCCCATCACCAAAGATGCAGGGGGCAGGGCAGGGGAGAATGTCAATGGTCAGGTTGATCATGCCAGAATACTTACTTGAAATCTTGGAAGTTGTTGGGGGGGGTTTTCTCTGATCATGTAGGTCTACAGTCTAAGTCTGTCAACTTTGCTACAGTCCGTGGTCTTTTCTTTGGGGACAAATTTCTGCCATCTACATATTGCTGCGAGTACACTGAGTGGTGTTCATCGAATTCACAAAGGCTTGCTAGTAAATAAAATAACAGAAATAATGTTTCAGTCGTAGCTTAAATCAGACACAGAGGCCTCAAACTCCAAATTTCCTTAGTTAAGGGCAGCTGCAGGTATAGCCTGGGTGAGTCTGGCCCTCATCAAGTATTCCACATTTTAAAAAAAAAGTTTCAAGTACATGTACTGGTCTTTTTTTTTATAAGGGTACAGCTGATCTGTTCAGCTCTAATCTTATTCAGAGCATTAAAGAACATGAACATTTCATCTGCATCAGTCTCTTTGAGTAAGGTTTAGTCTCCCCATATCCTCCTCTCTAAATTTGGCTGTGATTTGTGTACAGTTGTTTTACTTGCCTTCATTTTTGTCTGTGGTTGAATTATTTTGTTTTCAAAGCATTGTTAACGCACTTTCTTTTAAAATTTGTCATATTTCTTGGTTCACAATCACATATATTATTTTATGTGTGCAATTGCTTCTTTGTTTTTTATCCTTTCATGAACTTTATAGTTAGTAGACCTATATATATATGCACCTTCTTGATGAACTCGACACAAGACCTGCGTGCACATTCATCATCAACTTGAAAATGTATTAGAACCAGGTGTGTATTTGTCATCTTCCCTGCTCATTTCTGACCATTTTCCATAACATTTAGCTAACATCAAATCTACGCTCTACTGTTTTATGTTTATTTTGCAAACGAACATGATACACTGGATGAGCAGAATAGTTTTTAAAATTTTATTTATTTATTGCACTGTTGCTTGATTTTAGTGTGCTTGTGTATTCTAAGCATTGTTAAGTTCAAGTGTTTTTGTTTTTTGTAGGGATCATTACATTTACTCATGTTGTTTGGAACATAATGTTCTGATTCTGAAGAAAATCAACAGTAAGGCCTGAACTGAACTACGGTAAGATCGATTTGGGTTATTGCTTTTGTGAAAGTAATTGTGACAAAAAATAATTACAAGGGTCTTACATCAACTCTTTTAGTCCCATTCTTTCAGACTAGTACTAGTACCTATTTGGCATCCTTTGTGTTATAGATCTCATTTTAACAATGTGCAAGTGAGTGTTGTAACTTGACATGTTTTGTCTCTGGCCCTGTGGAAATCATGGAAAATATGATAAATCATGACCCTTGAGGCTTAAGTTTGTCAAGTAGTAGAGGAATAATATAACGTTGTACGAATGTTAAACCTAATTTGAAACGAAATTCTGTTTTGTTTCAAATTTGAAAAAAATTAACTTTTCATCCGTAACCTTTGTTCAAACTAAAAATGTTTGTGTATTTGTAGAATGTACAGATATCAATAACGGACTAAGATGAAAAAGCCAATTCATCCAAGGTTTGCACAAAAGGTACCGTATACAAAGTTTTTCATTCAAACAACAGTATAGCATAGTATGTAGCGCTTGTAAATCTGCGAAAATTAATAGGCTGGACTGATGTGCTGCAAAGTGTTTCAACAGGAAAATGTCTCTCACGAGTAGATTTCAAAGCAGTTTGGGAAGAAACTTTGGTTGTCCTACCATTATTACCATTCAACCCAAGAGATGTAGACCCTAGTGTGCAGTCATTCACAGAAGTTTTACAACAGTGGGGTTATTCTCAGAAACTTTAGAGCACAGCAGGGCAAAGTTGATCCATGGTGATGCTGGGTTGATGGATGGATCTCTTCATAATGCAGTTATTGTTTGGAAGTGATGAATGGATGAGGAAAGAAGGAAAAATATCTACTAGAACTATAGTGAGAATGCTTGCACTGAGAACATTGATGTATATATATATTATAAATATATAAAAACACACACACTGCTGGAGGTCAAAATGTGACATATTGTTTGCTAGATTAAAATGTGTGTGTGTTTGTGAGAAGAGCAGGTCAGCAGCCTGCAGTGTTGTAAAATTCAAGATGTACACTCACTCTGTGTTACTGAATAAAAACCTGAACTATCTCCATATTGTTTTTCTTTCTCTTTCCCCTTGGCAATGAAAAAGATATAGAGAAATCTTGATGATACACAACATCCATATATCTCAGAGTAGTGAGATATAAGTATACATACAGTCTAGCAATTACGAAGTAAAATTGGCGGGACGCAGAAATCTTTTCATTGTTTAAATACAAAGATTAAGAATGCAAAAAAAGTATCTTCGCAAAGTGTGTGCTAGACTGTATGTATGCACCTGATAAAAACAGCTTTCTCCACATGTAGACTGAAGGGTACAGTAAAACCTTCCAACGCCGCGTCTGAAACTGCAGTATGCTTTGAGTAAAGAGAAGCAATAATGGTCATTTAGTGCTGAGAAAAAGTAAGACAGACAGAAAAACAACAGATGCAAAGTAAAGAAGTAGGACCTACCAGAGACACCCTCCAACCACCTGCACTGCAGTATGTGTAATTTTCAATTTGAATTTGTACTCTAGCACACATACACATGTTCGCAAGCACACACACTCACACAAACAGTCTCTCATCTTTTTAAATACCAGAACACATAATTAATCAACAGAATATGAAGCACTTTATAATATTTTCGTCAAAGTGAGAAAAAAAAAGCCGTAACCATTTCGTCAAGTTTGCAATGATGGCCTCCTGTTTATTTTCATGTTCATCACATTCATGGTGTTTTCCCATACATGAAATTTTAAAAGGAAATGTCCGCCCCCCCCCCATTTTCCTAGTTGAGTGGGAACCCTGATTATGGCTCAGAAATGGTGGAACCATTGGGTCTTTGGTGTTTTTTTTATGGAAATAGGATTTTATTTACAAAATTGATTTTCTTTACTCTATAAGTCTGTAGTTTGAAATGACATGGGCGGACATTTCATTCCTTTCTCCAGGCGCTCACAGATATGACATCATTTTGACCAAAAGTCTGCAACAATTCATCACAAAATATAAAAAAAGAAAAACAAAAAACACTTTTTTCAATATTTTCACTTGTATATTTCCAGCAAGTCCCACAGAAACGCTTGACAACATGAAGTTGATTTATGCTATTGGTAGGAAGGGGGAAAAAATGTTTATAGTTTCTATAAATGAAGAGTGCATGTCAATAACAATACTATCAATAATCATAATAGTCTTAAACTTGTCTCTTGCTGAAAGAAAACTGTCCAGTAGTAGAACAGCCATCGTGTCATTATGACCTCACAAGAACAAAATATCACAAAGCAAAACTGTCTACAATAACTTTCAGGTGGTTCAGATTTCCCTCTCTGTCCTACGGCCAGCACAAGACGCCAGGATAAGGACAACATTCGCTTCAGTGACAAGATAGACGGTCGGCTGAACCCTCAGAGCAAGGACATCTCCAAAACTTGTTCCCTCCCACTCATGAGGACGTTGTCTTCAGGGCTTTTTTCTGGGACAGGTTAATTTTGTCTCCCATGCTCAGAGCCATACCCTGTAGAGAAAAACACAGAAACATGATTACACATACCAAAATTCAGACAGCAGCAGATATTTTTTTCATTTTTTTCTAAATCATGTTCACAAAGAATTTCCCTCCATTCATGCTCTAAGAATTCATAGAGGCTGCCATGGTCCACTGGCCATGTGAAAGAAAAAAAAAAGAAAATGCAAGGCTAAATAATTCTACAAACATCACCTACCTAAAACCTGTAAGGGGTTTCAGACTTTTATTATCGATTTTAAAAAAACACTAAAAGTTAATAAATCATATTTTCAAAGCAAGGTTTGGCTTGAATCCACCAAAAATTTATTTGACTTTCTTTTTGTTATAATTTCAAATTCATGCACCCCTTTTCCGCAACAGGCAGGGCGTCCATGTACAAAAGAGGGTGTTTTTGTACTCGTAAAACCTTCACAAACATACCTTTTTCAATGTAACAGCACACAAAAACCTACAACTTCAAAAACAAAAAACTATATTCACTGCTCTAGTGTAAGACTGCCATTTTGAAAAGGGACGTATGAAGAAGTCTTATACTGAGCAGTCGACATGTTTTATGAAAGAATAAAGATGGAGCTACAGGAGAATAAAGTTTGTGAAAAAAAACCCACCAAAGTCAACCCACAAATCAGTGACTTTGCCTGCCTGCCCAGCAAGATCGGACTACCTACTGTCACTGTTCATTGTTGTGACCAGATCAACAAGTAAGACGCTACACTTATAGAGTCATCTTTATATACATGTATACTTAATCCCTTTTTAACTTTAACAGTACCATAGCTCTGTTAGCATAATTTCTCTTCCTCGTCTTTTTAACAACCACTTGACCTCCAGGTTCTACACATGTGCTGCTGCTGGCTGGCCGCCCATTTTTCTCACCTGACTCTTGGCCCGAATGCGCACGTGACCCTGCACTGGAGCCTCCTTGCCCAGATGGAATGGCTTCTCGATACTCAGATTGGCCAGGACATCCTCACCAAAGATAGAGCGGGCATACATGTTGGCCGCCATGAAGCCACAGTCCCCAGACAGAGCCTGTAGAGGGGAGAGGTAGGAGGAACAAAGAGTCAGACAACAGGCGTGAGACTTTCAGACATTTGATGAACATCTGGTAGTCGCTTGGACCTACATCATCTATTGCCAGAGTAGAAACTATAAGCTATAGCAAGAATGTGAGTAAAATAGCATTTGAGTAAAAAGAAACACAACACAATAATAGTCTTTTTGTGTCAAGTAAAAGCAACATCGACAGAAAGAAGAGTCAGAGGGAAAGAAAGTAGGACCTACAACATGTAATGGCACCTTCTCACCAGAAAAATGCATTAAATAAATTATATATATATATATATAAGCAGGTGTTATCACGATTCCTTCACTATACTTAAAAAGGAGGAGAGAACAGGATGACAGATGTTTGATAAGAAAGAAGGAGCAAACCACATCAGAACACCCGCCAACCACCCACAGGAAATACCTCTCTTGCAAGTCTACATGGGGCAGTTTCTTTTGGGTTTAAAAAAATTTTAATAGAGTTTTATAGCACTCGCAACACATAGGTCATATACATGCCAAAGATTTGAGGTGTTACTAGAGGGTAACATATAAATAAAATAAAGAGCAATGAGGACGACAGATGTTGGATAAGAAAAGAAGGAACAAACCACACCAGAGCACCTGCTGACCAACCACGCAGGAAATTAGTTGTCCATGACAATCCTTTTTCATTCAAGGGAAATCTCTTTGTTTAAAACATTAGTGACATCATTCACTGTCATTGTGAGTTTTCCAAAGGCAGAACAGTCTGGACAACTAAGCTTGTCATAATACAATTCCATCAGAAGCTGGCATCAATGTGGAGGTTGTGCCTTATAATGAACCTAAACTGTGTTGACAGCGACGCAAAAGTAAATAACAAAACCCAAAAGGAAGGCAGGATAATGAACAAATGCTGTTACTGGCTGGAATATAGGGTTAATAAAGACACAAAATTCAACTACACAGGTCGACTACAGGGCCTGCATACCCAAAGTAAAAACGAGAACAATATAAATTGGTAGCAACACGAAGAACCAAAAATAACATAAAATGCAGCATACATATGGAATAAAACGGGGGACACAAAACAAAACAAAAAAGCAACTGAAAATGAACAAAAGTTCAAAAGATAATGCTATATCAGTAAATAGATAACTTGGAAATGACTACGTATGCGAGGGCAAGGAATGGGTGAACTATGGTTTCTCAACAAATCACAAACAAGACCTAAAATACTATGTTTAGGGAGAGGGAAGGCGCATCTCTGAGGAGGTATGAACAACATTCTGTTACATCCAACACCACGGGGAGCACGAGAACATCAACCCTAGGGGACAAGATGGCTGGAGAAATGAGAGAGACGTGTCACCTTTGACCGGGCTAACAAATGTGGATTGAATTCTGCATCCTCATCCTAGAAGTGTGAAACAAAGTCATCAACTCACAACTGGTGACCACAATGCTACTAGAATATTAAGAGAACCTTCTCAAACATACCCACTTTAGTTTTATGGCAATATTTGTTATTTAAAAAAGAATACTTCAAGAGACAAACAAAAATGTTATCCTTAATTCGAATCTACTGGTCAAAATCAGAAGACACTGAGCAAAGACAAACATATAATATGACACTAAACAAATGTCAAGGAACACTTTCTTGTAAATAAATAACACCCTGAGCAAACAAACAAACATAAAAATGACAAAGCCTATCCCTGCACTATTCTGACATTGTGAATTTTCTTAATATAATAAAGTCTAAAAAGAAATTAAACAGGAAACAGTAAAAAAACAACTTGTCCACAGCCTCAATAGCAAAAAAATATCCCCACTACATTAACAGATCTTCACACACATACACACACGACAAAACATGCTAGATCTACTCCCATCAAGAAAATTGTCAGTTCAAGCCCAACACGAGACAAGTCAGCTTAATTTATCTACATAAACCAATTGGAAACAAAAGTTGGAAAAATGGCATCCTGAGCTATCTCGTCCAACGATTATAGGCCCAAGTTTTGTTATTTTTCTTAACCCCTTAACTGGTAACCATAAATCCACCCCGTGTGCTTAGGAAATTTCCACAGTGGCTGTGTATGACATGGTCTGCTTCTTCGAATGGCAATATCTCACTAACTATAAGCACTAGATATAGCAAAGTATAAATGAAATAGGAGAGTCTCTATACTCCCGAGGGTGATTAAGCAAGAACTTTCGGAACTGGGAGCACAACTGGCATACCCATATATCTTGAAAAATGAATTCCAAGTCTAAATATTTATTTTGAATTACAAAATTAGCCTTAAAAGTACAGAAATGGCCAATCTAAAAGTAAACGTATTCTTTTGCATAAATTCTTGAATCTGTAAAAAAGAAAAACTCCTGAGGGAAGCGAGCATTTATTGACATGCGAGTGTCTTTGCACATCCAAAGCAAATAACGATGACTACCAGTGCAATACTTGCAGATACAAAGAGAGAAAGAAGGGGAAAAAAAATCAACAGGAGACTCATTTCATTCACAGTTCGCAGATAATCAAAAGTAAGGCAATCTGACAACAATCTTGGATAAACTGTACATGACCGACACACATACCTTCTCGGGTGTGAGACATTTGAGGTTGGTGCAGGACATGACATGCTCCAGGTACTCCCGCAGATCTGAGATGTTGGTGTTGACTGTCACTTTGTTCTCCCACTCAAACTCGGCCCACATCTGTCGGAACTCTGTGTCGGTGCAGGAGGCTGGGACAATGTAGTCCATGATGTCAATGTGGATGTCGTTGAGGACCACACAGTTGCGATCGCTGGCCGCGCCGGACACATCATACACTGAGGACAACATGATGGCCACCTTGTTAGTTTACTCAATCTCATCTAAACCAGACGCCATCACTTGTCACATGCAGCCTACTGTGTACCTTAATTACCCACTGTCATAGGGAAATTTCATACTTGCTAACGGCCCCATTTAGAATTTTATGTCGCTTATTACAAGGGAAATATTCAAAATAGGTTGTCCGTACAGCTTCCAGTTTGGCCAAATCTTCCAGCTTCTGATATTGCAGTTTTGGAGAAAGGCCTTAATATACTAACCGCCATTTGAAATAAAACCATAATCAACAATCTATCTTTTGCACTTGAAATAACACTATAATTCTTGTCATCATCACCATAATCATCACCGACTAAACAATTCCTCTCTTTGTTGTTTTTCTGGTTCCATTTTTTATGAAACGTAACAATTTGCACAATGTCAATACATTTTACGTAACTTACAAATATTAGCACCAAAATCAGTTCACGGGACAAACAACAAAGGAACCAAAAAAATCCCCACTACAATTGATTTTTATTTTATACTCCTATAATGTCTGTTTTCTTTTGAAGGCATTTTTTAAAAATAAACGCTTAATTTAGGAAAAGTTAGATTTTTCTTTGGTTGAGGGACTAATGTTTAGAGATGGACTTTTTCTCAAAAGCAAGGTCTTCAAGGGGATTGAGGCAACATAAGGGCATTTCAAAAGTAGCAATTATTATGTCGTTACAAATGCCCTCCAATGACATGACATTTAAATGGTAATTACTTGAACAAGACATTTGGACACCTTGCTCTATGAGAATGAGCATGATTCTGTAGACCCAAATGAACCACACTGGTGCAAACTGTTGGAAAAAAATGTGCTCTTCCATAGTACAAATGACAATATTGTGTCTAAGCTACTGTGAAACAAACTTCCCCTATGAGGAGTAAGAAAAATATCATTTTTTATTCATACATCAAAGAAATATTATTATAGCTGTCACTGAAACACTAATCAACCACAACAAAGTAGCCTTGAAACATTCTTATTGTAATGCTGATCTACCTCAACAATGAATTCTGCGCTGAAAGAAATATTTTCAAGAGGTAAAACAGTAAAACAAAGTGTTTGGAATAAACAAGAAGACACAAAAATTGCAGAGATATATGTAAAAACAACCCCCAAAAAAACAATATCGAACAAAAAAACAGGAACATACCAATATTTCCAAAGATAATTCCATTCTCTGTGGAGGTGACCTTGACATTTGCTTTAGTATTGCAGAAGTCGTGAGGGGCCAAAGTCAGAGGCTGCGGCTTTTCCACCAATTTGAGATCACCTGCAGGGATGACAACACCAAGGACATGGTCAGCAACACTACAAGCAGCTACAGAGTTGGAACAACTTGAAAGCAAGAAATGTGTTTTCAATAAGTGTTACACAAAGGGGGGGGGGGAAGGTACATACTTAACTTACTACATTGACTTCACAGGAATACGAAAATGTTCAAGATTCTTTTAAGATTTTCTCAAAGGAACGAAGCGAACAACTATTCTATCAACAGCACCAAAAAACCCCCCCCACTTATTTATACACAGAATCAGCTGAGTCACCCACGGTAAATGACTGGAAAAGAGTGCCCACCTGTTCCGAGGTCTTTTGTAATTTTAAAGATATTTCTATAGCCTATGAGACAGTTACCCTAATGGTCTTACTTTTCCACTCTTCATGTATCAGTGAGTAAAATACAAAAGAAGTGGAACCTGAAGTGGGTATCTGTATTGCCTTCTAAGAGCAAGTATGGGAGCAGCAAGAACTTGCGTGCACGCATGTGTGTGAGGGAACTGAGTATATGAGGGCTTTGTGTGTGTATATGTGTGAGCAGTGGTGTGTATGTGTGTGTTTACATGTGAGCAATAGTGTGTGTGTGTGTGTGTGTGTGTGTGGGAATGTGTGTATGCATGTACGTGAGAGTGTGTGTGCGTGCATGTACGCGTGTGTGTGTCGTGAGCATTTTTGTGTGTGTGCGCACACGAGCGTGCGTTCACGGGCGTGTGCGTACCTAGCGTAGCCAGCTCCAGGGTGAGGTTCTGGAGTGTGTCTGCCGTCTGATTCACGATGAGCACGTCTAGCACGATGTCGAACTGGTTGACATTCACGTAAGCCTCTGCATACACAGGATCAGAGAAACCAGTCAGCTGTGTGACCTGGAGGAATAAACGGAAGAGTGAATAACCCGCCTTAGCTGGTCCCTGTACAGACCACTACCATTTCTTCCTAGAGTATGCACAGAGCTATGACACAACACAAGTTATGTGTCCATCTTCTAAACAAATAAACCTGTCTAGGAAACTCACAGAAACACAAGAAATCTTTACGTTTGAGTAAAAAGAAGCACATCAACACAATGACAGTCACTTAGAGCAGGGAAAGAGTAAGACAAGACAGACAGGAATGAAAGGAGGAAGCGAAAGCTATGAGACCTATCAGTGGCACGCTCTAACCATCTGCATATCAAACTGAAGAATCTTCTACAGATAATATTAACCTTACTCTTTGAAGTCAGAAGGCATACAGGAAGTAATCCAGCTTTCCTCTACTCTGCATAGACTAGCTACCATTCTGTATAACTAATGGTATGGTTGTAAATGTTTACCACAAGTCAGGGCCAACCTGGGCTGGACGACACAAAGCATTCTAGCAGAAAGATAGTCGATAAAGTAAATTTCCCTCTGTAAGAACTGAACTCACATCATCTGCTTGCAATTCCAAAAGCCTAACCATCACATCACAGACACAAGAATGTCTATTCTGGAAAATGTTCCTATCAATAAACAGATCCTTACAACAATTCTAGAAAATATTCCGATCAACAGGCAAATTTATACAAATATTCAAGAGAATATTCATAACCATACACAAATTTTTCACCGTGGTCTGAAAAAGGAGGCCATCTAAATCTGCTTGCTTGACAAACACAGGCAGTTATAAAGTACTCCAAACCATTGCCATTAAAATGCCTACCTTGTTGAGTTTGGACGCCCCCAAAGGATCTCCATCTCTCTTGGCATTCCCGCCCAAGGCTTGAGACAGTGTCAGCTCAAACACATTCTGGGGAGAGACACACAGAAGAATTCTTTACATATACAGTAGTCTCCGCCTAAGATCCCACCGCTTACGATCCCGGTTCGCTTAAGATCCCGGTTTTTAAGAAAACAGAATTTTTACTATACAAAAGTCACCCCTAAGATCCTGTTCTGATCCACTCTGAAGGTCTACATTCGGCTAACATCCTGCATTTCTGATAATAATTTACGGAACAAACCAGCCGATCAACCAAGAGTGAAAAGTTGAGATCAATGAACTGTCCGTCGCGTCAAAGATCAGCCACTCTTGTGAGTGTGATCACATAAGCGCCATAAAACTCGATGAAACGGTATAATGTTTGCCCCAGATGGGATCGCACTGATGTGTGAACTAACCTACACGTTTGTTTTCCCTGAACATCGCACTCGCACCTGAGCTCTCCACCTAAACTTACATCACTTTGCTCCAGGCGGGATCACATCACACTGTGAACTCTCCCCTGACCATTGATTGCAGCAGTTTTCTCTTTTCCCGAGTTTGCATGCTAGACTGAATGTGGTCATAGCGCAGAGACGCCAACCACAGAAAACCAAAATGAGTATTGGGAAATATGAAAACGTGTATTTTCAGGGGAAAATGTGTATTCTCCACGACTGACCGACCAACCAGTAAAATGTTCAGGGTGTCAAGCAATATTTCCTGAAAAAATTTACTAGCTCAACAGCTCGAAAAAGGGAGCACACACGCGTACAATAAACATGTACCCAGTCAACAACATGTTAGTGTTCAATGTCGTACTGGGGTCTTGTTTGACTTAACTATTTCAGTCTGTTATGATATTTTCCTCTCACTATTATTATTTTAAAAAATAATCCTGATTTGACCGTTCCGAAGGGCCTTGAACAAGAACTTCGACTGTCAAGAACCAGGCAGGGTGTCATGATTCATATTATGAACTGACAGACTCAAATTATTGCTCAAACTCAGAGAAGAGCAATAACTTGAATGGCTAAAGTAAACCCGTGCACTGTGAGAGTTGTAACAACTGTGGGAGGGCAAGATGCAGTGACACTGAAAATCTGTCCGTCTTGAACAGAAAGCTACAACATATACTGTAGGTATAATTTACTATCATCACCCATCTAATGACACGCGAACATTTTATTTCAATTACACAGACTTGCAAAGTATGAAGGGTCCCGATTCCGCACACGGCCTGCACTAACGCGCTCTTTGCAGAGAGCTCTAATCAAAATTCTGAAATTTGCCTCCAAGTTTCTGTCCTCTGGTGTTGCCTTCACACCTTCTCCCTCCCCTCCCCCCCCCTCGAGTGTATAAAAAAAAATCAATAATCCCCTCCCGTAGTCCTATACTTCGCAGCGCCGTTACTCCCACCAAACACGGTCTTTGCTCACACGATGCCGCATTTATTTATGACGCGAATGCGCGCAGGTTCATTGACCGGTCACGATGGCGAGCCCGACTATAGCGTAATGGTGCGTAACGACAAAGGCGAGGGAACTTGGTCAGAGAAGGAAAGCTATAAACTTTTGACAGGTAAAGAGGAGGGGCAACTGGATAAGCGTTGATCTTGAGACTCACGATAGGATAATAAGTGAAAATGGCACGCCTCATGCCACTATGCAGTATGATAGGTCATCAAGGTTAACCACTTTTTGCTTGCCATATGTCATTAACCCACCCAGAGGGCATATCAGTTCATTTTAGAGTGGAGGGAAGAACATTTTACCGATTATGAGCCTTAACATGGGTCACCGTAGATTCTTCCCTGGGTTCATTAGCTAAGATCCCGGTTCGCCTAAAACCCTGCATTTTCCTTGCTCCCGAGCACCGGGACCTTAGACAGAAACTACTGTAGTGAGTTATCCACAAGTTCACTACCTGCCCCATGGTTTTAGTTTAGGTAATAAGAATTTTGTGGCACTAACAACACAAATAGGTCATATGAGTTTCAAAGATTAAAGGTTTTACTAGAAAGTAAGATACAAATAAAAGGAAAAGAGACGAATCATCTTGAAGTTATAATATCCATAGGAAGCTTTTTCAATTAGTAATGAGAAGTGCAGGAACAGCATAAAGCATAAAGCTTTCTGTTGCAGGGATATGCATTATAAAAATGCTATTTATTATCATTATTTATCATAAACAGTAGAGAGAAAGAAAAGAAGTAGCACCTAACAGTGGCACTCTTAGCCATCCTCTTGAAACCTAATGACTAAAGTACCACTTGATGGCTGGATGCATGACACAGACAGTCACCATTTTCAGTCTTTATTTGGCCATCACACTGTGAAGTCATAGCATTAACAGTACAGAACAGACTACTAGCAACAACAGAACAATGAGAACAGAGAGAACTAAAGATACCCAACATGCACAATACAATTGATCAGTACAGTTTTACGTGAATAGAAACGTATAAAATAAAAATGACGAAGAGTAGCTCAGGGAAAAAGCATGTTGACAGGAAGAACAGACAGTAGTATGAGAAAAAGGAGGAAGAACCTCTCAAGGGAGGCCTCCCCTTGACCGTACACACCCACACATACACACTTACACGCACACACAGATACCAGTGCAGACAACATGATGCCCGAACTCACCTCTCCACCAGCCTGGTCACTTCTGTTGATGAGCTGAGCAAAACTGATGGGGTCATCTGCGTGAACTTTGACCTCTTTTCGTCCTGCAGCCTGTTGATAACAGTGCACAATGTGAGAGTCCTTCCTGCAAGGTAGGCTTTAAATTTATGAACAAACTGTTTTGTTTGTGTTATTTTATTTTTTTTATAGCAGAGGGTTTCAAGGCGTTCGCAACTGCAAAAGGTCATATGAGCGCCAATGGGTGGGTGTCAACAAGAGATAAGGACGATAGATGTTTGATAGGAAAGAAGGAGCAAACCAAATCTCAGCACCCACCAACCATCCACAAAAAGCACTTTCTGCGGCTATAGTCACCTTAAGGTGAAAAGCTTGACACTAGTCCATCTGTAGGTTATTTAGTGACTAAAGCTAGACACTGTATATTATATATATATATATATATACCAAGTGAAAAAATATCAGACATCAGTTTAGATACTGGTCACCTCATAAAAAAGCCTGAAACTGTCCATGTACTGGTCATCTAGCATTAAAAGGTTGGGACAATTTGAGTCTTAACTTCTGTTGAGCATTGGTTTGTAGACAGAAGTGGTGTATTAGTAGTGAGAAGTCTTACTAATTTTGCATCAACAACTTCAGTTTCCAGAGGGGGGAATGTTAATTATATTTACACATTCACTGCCTAGTAGACAGAGAAAAAAAAGAACTGCAGAAATAGCATACATGAACTTCCAGACACAAAAAATAAAAAGCCAGAAACATCTAATCCTTGGTCAGGAGAAATGGACCAAATCACTCACCTGCTGCAGCTGTTTCTCCTCCTCTATCTTGGCAGCCAACATGAGGGACAGTGACCCACGGCAGGCTGTGTTGAAGATCTCATTCATCATGTCCGAGCGCTCCGCAAGAACACGCAGGCACACAGCTATGCGGTCAACATCGTCATCTGTGATTGGCTGTTGGAGGAGAGGAGGAACTCATGAAGAAATGAGTATGTGTGAGTGCAATAGTGCACTAGGAGGGTGTGCATGTGCGCCTGTGGGTGAAGATGGGGAGAGACAGAGTGAGAAAGAAACAAGAGTCAGTAAGGGAAAAAATTCTAATTCACTGTAGACAACTGAGAGGGAGCAAGTTTTTTTGGGTTTTTTAAAGTTTCAGTAGAGGTTTTACTACTGGCGCTTGCAACTGCATTAGGTCATATGAGCGCCAAGGGGTGGATGTTAACAGAAAGTCCTTACAGGGAATCAGACTTACTCTGCTCACTTCTCTTGCCTCAACAGCACAAAGTCTGCTTCGACTATCAAGGCACCCCGGAAATAGTGGGTCACAAGAGTGTGACAAACGTACAAAAGAAGTAGAGGAAAAATGACAATAGTAAGGATTAGGAAAGAAAAAGAAGCAGTTCCCTGTTGTAGATCAGGCACAGTTATGAGCGTGACATTGATGAATCAGCCCATTTACAATTCTACTGTGCATGAACGAGAAAGCCCCCCCCCCCCCCTGGGAATGGCCTAAAGACACTTTAGTCAGTGGCACTGCCCTGGGGGTAGGGAGCAAGTGTACACAAAAGTCTTTTCCTTACTTTTCCTTTCTCTTTCTGATCAGAGAGACAATGGACCTTCCGTTCATGTTGAACAAGAAATCCCTCAAGCAGATAATTTGATAATTTTAACTCACTCGAGTCTTTTCCTGCACTTGTTGCGGGAAGCCCAGCCGACCGCCTATGTCCAATCCCGCACCCCTTGCAAGATCAGTAATAAAACACAACAGTGTTTGTAATTCACTACGTAAGTTGCGGAAAACACCACATCAAGTATCATTTACTTTCTGCTGATCAAAATTCCGTTTCGGATCCTGTTTCCAAGTAGTAGTTTTTGTATAGCAGGTGAGTTTGAAAGCTCACATCAACTGATCCGTAATGTTTTCCTTCTGTCATTTAGGTCATGGAGTTGGCGTTCGTTATGCTGTCCGAGCAAACGCACTCGGTTTTGAGATTTATAACAATAATAACGCCGATTTTAGCGAGAATATTGAAAGCCACAACTCTTGTGCCCATTTTTTAAAGATCATAACACAAAAGCCATAAAAGATTTCTTTGTGATTTATTTTGCATGTTATTATTTTAATCTGATGTTTCTGTGATGTAATTTTGGTGTTTGTGGTGAGAGAGGGTGAATTTTGGTGTATTTTTTTTAAACCTCCAAAAAAGCCCATACTCCAGTGCTTGTGTTTCTAAAATACCCCACACTCAAGTGAGATGTAAAAAATTTTGTCCAGGGTAAATATTGCAATTCATTCTGCATAGTAAAGTATTGGCATAACTTACAAACCATGTGAGTGTAATTTTGGGTTTCAGAGACTACCTGGAAATCTTCAACTAAAATAAATATCCCCAAAGTGAGTTCCTGCCATTGTGCACAACTTGCTGACACAAGAGTATAACATAGAGTCTCCATCCATTGTCACACTCTTCTACAACACTTGTAACATCCACAATCTCCCAAGCTCACCTTTGTGGAGAGTCCAGACTTGCCCAGATGGATGATGGTGGCCATGATGAGCATAGCCTCCGCCACAAATGCCTGAAAGAACACAGGAAAAAACAAAATGTTTTTGTAGCTCAAGAGCAAGTAGATTTGGACTATGCTTTGATTGGGTGAGCAAAGAAACTGCAGAAGGAAAGAAGAGTGTAGGACCTGCCACCCTCCCTCATCCACATCACAGTCTACAAAAGGGTCTACACTTTATTAAAGTAGTAAGAGGCACAGCTAGCTACTAGGTAAGGCAAAACATACAACGATAAAACACAGTAACAACACAGAACTGACTCTTCACTTTTCAAAACTACAAATGTAGTGATATCAAATTAAAATGCTATTTGACAGTCAAATAAGAGTATTGTACTGTTATTACCTTAAAATAGGGGAACTCAATACTGAGTAGATTCGTTCAGTCATTTTACTTACGTTCTGTCGTTTCTTGTCTTGTGTGATTGCAATGAACTTGAGAGCCAACTTTGTGAGGGAAGTAGCGAGAGCAGCTCCAATAAAGAAGTCACCATCCATCATATCTTTACGCAGTGGTGGCCTGCAAAGAGAAATGATCAAATGGGGTTGAAATAACACAATTTTTAATTACTCTTTAAACAAATACTATGTCAATTTTCACTGCTCTAAAATAGACAAACAGTACTCCCAAAGAGTTTGAAGAGGAGGTGGAAACTATAGAGGAAATCTTGATATGCAAGAATAGCGTCAAGAATACTGTAATGACAAAAAATAATCCATATGCAGTAATTATTACAGTGGTATTCATAGACAGTAACGTAAAAATCTAACCACAAAAGTAAATGAATATGGGTGAATGTACTCACACTTCCTCTTTCTTTGCCACTGTTGTGGTGCTGAATGCACTCTGGGTAACATACGTCCCGTCTGCTGCAACAAGTCTCTGTACATTTCCGCCCATTTGCATTTCTGGAGGGTGAAACGAAAGGCAAATGTGACTTCAGCACGTCTAACGAAATAACCAGACAAGTTACAATGTCCGTTGTTTTTTGGGGTCTCAAGAGCAGAAATGCGTGCTTTGGGAGCATTAAATGATAATTATCATAAATACAAGGTTACACCTAAAACTGTATGTTGAAAAGTACCAAAAATTAAGTCAGCCCAGACAGAGCGGCGACAGGGAGCTGACCCCTGTGACCCCGACGTGCAGGGTTGGTGATTTTTTTTATTTTTAAAATAAAAATTAAAAAAATCGATGTTTTAATTTAAATCGGACATTTAAAAAATTTTTTTTTTAATGTCAACACAGTTTGGGATTTTTGGTGGCTAAAAGTAAGTTCTTTTAGTGCAAAATGCATTGTCTTTATTTTAACTTCTGATTAATTTAAGCCACTGCAATTTTAGAAAGCCTTAATCTGCTATATCAGTGAATTATGGCTACAGACAAAAAATGAAGAAAATGTCAGTCTAAAAGGAAGGGGGGGGGGGGGGGGGTAATTATGCATAGATAAACTTGCATTTTATTACAGTGTGTGTGTGCGCGCGCGCTTGTGTTTGTCTAAAAAGAAAAAGAAAATGCTAATTTCAATTATGAAAAAAAAAGTAAATTGAATACAGTATTATATTTTTTACTACTTACAGTGACAGGGGGGAAGCAGACTTTTAAGCATGATTATTTTAGTCTACTAAACCTTATATCTGTTTTATAAAACCAAGGAAAGGAATTCTGAATGTTTAAAGATGTAAAAACAGAATACATTTTTTTAAAGTGATTTAAATCACTGAGTTTTATTTTTAAAATCAAGTTGATTTAAAAAAAGAAAAATCAACTGATTTAAATTGACCTGATTTAAATCAACCCAACCCTGGTTTTCAATTATGAAAAAAAAGTAAATTGAGAACTGTATTATTTTACAGTGACGGGGGGAAAGCAGACTTTTAATTAAGCATGATTAAACCTTATATCTGTTTAATAAAACCAAGGAAAGGAATTCTGAACGTTGAAATATGTAAAAACTGAATACATTTTTTTGAAAAGTGATTTAAATCCCTGAATTTCATTTTAAAAATCAAGTTGATTAAAATATAAAAAAATCAACTGATTTAAATCAACCCAGCTCTGATTTCAATTATGGAAAAAAAAGTAAATTGAATACTGTATTATTTTACAGTGAAAGGGGGGAAAGCAGATTTTTTAGCATGATTATATTAGTCTACTAAACCTTATATCTGTTTTATGAAACCAAGGAAAGGAATTCTGAATGTTGAAATGTGTAAAAACTGAATAAAAATAATTTTTTTAAAAAGTGATTTAAATCACTGATTTTTATTTTTAAAATCAAGTTGATTTAAATTTTAAAAATCAACTGATTTAAATCAACCCAACCCTGCCGACGTGATAAGGCGCTTGGCGGGAAACCCCCCACTACAACTCCACTGCCGGTGCGCCGTGCTGAGTATTGACCAAGCTCAATAACCTACAATGCCACAATGAAAAACTTCTAAAAGATTCAGGAAAAAAATCAATAAAAAATTTGATGATACTAACATGCAGGGATGTAAACAGGTTTTGAAAAAAGAGCCGGAAAATATACGGCACACACGCACTGTCTGAAATAAGAATACATTGAGACTAGATTATATTTGTTTCTTTCCCTCTATTAAAACAAATAATCTCTATTTAGTATATGTAATATGTACTGTTTATAGTAGACTTTTGTTAAAAGCTGAGGCCCAAAAGGCAAGTCGGTCGGGAAAAAAACAGGAAAAGCCGGAAGATTTACATCCCTGAACATGAGCCCAAATCATGAGAAAAGATTTTTTTTTAATAGTCATGTTACTCACCATCTTCCTTGACTTCCCCAGCAGTTTTCTTGATCTCATCATCCACAATAGGAATCTGAAGAGAAAAAAAGAGTTACAATAATGTTTCTTTAAGTATTACAATACCACACTTGCAGAACAAAAGCAAATAATCATGATTGTTCTCTGAACAAAATATTTTCTTTACAAATCGCAACAGGTTCCAGGGGGCTGACGTTAACTTTCAAGACATTGTTACATTATGTTTCTACCCAACACACATCCAGCTCAGACAGGGAATACCTTTTGGATAAAGGTCTGATAACCCCACAACACACACAAAGCTCTGAGCAACTTAAGCTTGCATTAAAATAAAGTATATAAAATGTTTGGATGATCTTCTTTTTATGAAATTCTTATTAATCCTTAATCACAGGAAATTCCTGACACTGGCATTATCCATGGTCATTGGACGGATAAAAGACCACCTAGAGTTCCCTATTCACCATGACCCACTCTCTCATCGAACCCCTAAATATAAGCAATATGCCCAACTGATTAAACTTTGAGACTTACATCTCCAAGCGACTGTCTGACCAGGGTCATCACACTCTGGATGTCATCGGAACTGGTGCAGTATTCTCCCAGAATCCACAGGGCTGCTCGGTGAATCCTTGAATAACCACAAAACAGACAAACTTTCACTCCTCTATACTGTAGCATTTTCAGAAGGTCATTTTTGCAGTTTTATGTCTACCAGAATATTTCAGGTCATCTGGATTACCTTGCGCTAGACACACCCAGACAAAAAGCAGAGCATAACTGTTATGAGTATCTGCAGGCTTTACACTTTGAATGCTTTACTAGCAATATATCTCAAGAAGATTAGTAGCTTCACTGTGTTTTTGCACTGTCTTGGGAGAGGGTAATTGCAAAACAGATATGCTGTACAACAAAAAACCCATAAAGCTGTACATTGTTATTAGCCTCATCACAATAATACTTAATCCTGTCCACAGATAAAAAGAAATGCACATCACAACAAAGATCAACAAGGAGAGAATCACAGAAAAAAGTCAGATGCAACTTAATCAGGAAACGTACTTCATGGACTTGATGGTACCAAACACATCCAGGAGTTTCCTGATGACAAGTGGTCTCAGCTGGTCAAAACGTTGCACTGCCTCACGGATGAACACTAGTACATCTGCTGCAGCCAGTTCATTGGTGTCTCCCAGAAATTCCATCAACTGAAACGACATACACAGAAAATTATAAGCACTTCTTTAAAAAGTTTAATGATTTGAATGCACCCAATCAAATAGATGCTCGTCAAGATCACACTTCCTCCAAGGTTGAAGCAAAACCAACTGAATACCTGGAATCTAGTTTATTTGTTTCAGTAAGAAACATGAACTGAAAAGATCAATTCATTTCACTCTGTTCATACTTCAATTGTGAATAAACTGATATAACAGAGGTAGACTTTAGTTTTATCAATACTTTTACAATCAGTCAATACACAGCTTTTAAGCTTTTTTTCCCTCGCTGTGATTTTTTATTGATCAACTTAAAAAGCCATCGGATTTAAAATCTTGGATACCCATACAAAGAAAGTCATTTCGAATCAATAAGCAGCCAGTCTTCAGCTGACTAACACAACCACTGAGACAAAATTATAAGCACCGAGAGTTCCCTTAGAAAGAAAAAGTCTCACCACAGGGATGATGGTTGCAGCCACGTCTGGGAACTTGACACTGCACTGGTGGAGGGTACGAACCAGCAACTGCCGGTACTTGCCTGTGTCTTCGTGCTCTACATTGTTTGTCTTCACTACCTCTTTCTTCAGCACCAACACCATCTGCAGAAGATACATAAGGGAATCTTAAATTTCTTTCCCAAATAACAGTGCTCACTTAATGTAGCATGAAATGGAATCTATTAAAGCACATATCAGAAACATCCATAAAGGATGCTACTACTAGTCTTTTTTTTTACTTTTCTTTCTCACCGTTTGTTTCTGTCTGCCTACCTAGCTCTTTCTTTACACTAAAAGACCATTATGGTGTTATTGTGTTTTTCTTCATTTCAACTCAAACAAAAAAGCGACAAAGAAAATTTTAAGAAGACAACAATTTGACATATATCAATGCTGAATTGCAAAAAATTCACCAAAGAAATAATCAATGCAATGAGTGGACAAACCTCTTCAATGTTCCGTGAAGTGGTCAGATCCAGGGCCAGGTTGAGAGTCTTTTTCCTCACTTCTTGGTCGGGAGAGCCCAGCACCCGCAGGATGTCCATCACAAGATCCTGAAAAAATGACCGACAGACATCCATGTACAATATATTTTTTTTTTTTTAAATACATAAATCTTGCATACTTGGCGGCCACTCCAAATGTAACAACCTCCTGGAAGAAAAGACATTCCCAAAAACTTTTTTTTCTCTTCTTCAATGAATTACAAGAGATGAGTGTCTTTTTTTGCAGAGAAGGTCACAAGAACAAACTTGAGTACAAAAAAGCTGCGAACTGCTATTATTTTCTCTAAAGTTTGCCATGCATATGTTTATGTTTCTACAAGACAGACATATATGGTTTAAGAAGGCTCTCTTCAAAAACAAATTCATTTCAAGTTTCCTCTGAATTTGTTCTTGCAGTTGGACTATAAAGTTGTGCTCTTATTTGACTCTAAACTGACACACAAGCGCTATATTGTCCTGTCACTCATCATGTAAAGTAGGGTCAAACAGAGTTACTCATCTTTCTTTGGACAGTCACAATATGCTCTGACCAGAGAGGATTAAGTGGCCAATGCTTCTTACTCAAAGATTAGGGGTTTTTTTTTAAACATGTGAAAAAAATCAAAAGCCGTCTATCAATTACACTTACATGAATCTAACATGAAATCTGGGAGACAAAAAGAAATTATTTTAACCACAGGACTTTCAGACCCTCTCTGCCACATGTGGGTTTGTACATGCAAACAACATAACAATACCTATTTTTTTTAAACTTGTTATCATCAAGACAGACAGTAACTTGGCCCTTTGGTAGTGGGCTGAGAGAATACATTCCTGGAAATAAGAAAACAATTCAAACTCTGACCACCTTCAACTCTTTCTTGGCTAACTGGATTTAAATACAGTGCACCACAGTGGTCTCATAGGCAGGAACAAAACCCTGTAGTCAGAGCCTCACCTGTAAGACTTTTTCGTGGTTCAGGTCCTCCTTGAGAGCAATCAGTCTGTCCAAGACAATAAGCTTGACATTGTTATCACTCTCCTTCACAATCAGCTCGATGTAACAACTTGCAGCAGCCTGGAGAGACAGCATGAACATTTGTCACCATTCTCCAAAACTATCTAGCAATCTGATTCCCTAGCACAAAATAAGAAAAATCTGATCACTTTCTATTACACTATGAGGTTACTATCACTAAAATTTTAAGCAGCTGAGTTTAAAGGAGTCAGTATCCCCATATCAGAGACTGTTTCTTCAGCTATAGAACTTTGTGCAACAAGGAGTATACACACATTCTACTATGGGCTAGGATCAAGGGTCTTACAGCTCACGAAAGCAGAGACAAATATGACTAACAGAAGCATAAGTTTTTTTATATTACGAAAGTTAGAAAAAAGCCTGACTTTTTACTACATCACAAGCATGTCTTTGAACCATCACATACGTCTAAGAAATAAAATCATGCAAAATTTCTCAACAGAAAATAATTACTCTGAAATGAATGCTTCTATACTTACCAGATCCCTTTCATACAGAAACAAGCAAATTATTATATTTAATACATTTTTCTTTTGTGTGTGTACAAAGTATGCATACCAGTTGAGCGAGCCACTGACTGCAAAGCTAACATGCTAAACAGGGGCCAGGCTCACCTTGATGGCTGTGGGGGCACTTGACAGAGTGACCAGTGTGCCCGCCGCTTCATATCTCACTGCTGGACTGGATGAGTTCAGCAGGTTGTAGATGCAGCGGATGAACCGAGCTCTTTCTCCTGGATTTGCATGACAGACCTACGCAACAAGATTAAACCGTGACAACTTACAGATTGTTTAAATTAGGAGAAGAACATCAACATAATAAGAGCTATTGAGTGCATAAAAAAGAAAAATATTAACAGATGGAAACAACATAGGGAAAGAAAAAAAGGAGATAGGTCAACAACAGCACGATATTCACAATCCTTATCCTTTCCATTACGCCAGTTTGCATATATAATGAAGCACACTGAAATTATAACAGCCATTAAATGCATGGAAAAGGAAAAATAGATGAAAACAACAGAGGAAAAGGAACGAAGAAGGATCTACCAATGATGAACACTTTTACAGAGCTAAACAACAATGCTGCAGAAATATCAAAAGTTTTTAGGAGTCCCAGGGAACAGGAAAAGAAAATTGGAATGAACAGGCCTGCCAGTAGAGTTATTGTGAAGCTAGGAGAGCCTTCAGCTTGCAAACTCTCAGGTGAATGAATATCCGCACACAATTCATAATCCTTAACAATTTTTCACTCACTTTGTAGATGAGCTCCACAATAACCAGTTGCAGGATGTCCCCAAACGATGTGACCTGGTCAATGCAGCTGCTCAGGTAGTCAAGGGCTCGCTCCTACGCATAACAACACAAAGGGCTGATTATGAAACAAAACCTAAAACTAACAGATATACCACGTCCAATTACTCACCACAGGACACAAACAACTCTTATTCATCAAATCTGCAGTTCTTTTGTTTGAATCCATAAAAATCACACCTAATTAAAATGTTAAAACTTTTGAAAGTACAGAAATAGCACTCACAACACGAAACAAAAAATACAATGAGATAAAAGATAGTTTCATTTTGTAAAAATTTAACGACACTTGCAACTGCATACGGTAATATGAGAGCACTTTTTACTATAAAAGAAAGACTTTAATTACTTTAACTTCCGTTGCCATGTAGTAACTGGCTCTAATGTACATACAAGTCAACTTAAAAGTCGGAAGCTTGTTAAGTTTAGTGAGAGTTTTATGGCACTTGCAACACAATTAGATAAGAGCAAAAGATTAGAAGTGTTAATGGATAGTAATATACAAATAAAAGAAAGAGGAGAGATAAGGACGACAGATGCTTAATAGAAAAGAAGGAGCAAACCACACCTCACAACCCACCAACCACATACATAAGCATCTTCAAAAATACACAATAAAATTGGCCACTGTTTAAATTTAATAGCTTTTTAAAAGGTAACCAACTTGTGTAATTCAGAGAGAGAATTTAGAGGCACAACTTTAAACAAATCTACAAAACCTACTTGATCAGCATGTATAAGCATCATGAAGGCATTCCTCTTGCAGGACATATCTTGCTCTCCCTCCAAAAAGTTGTGAATCAGTTCTGGTGCATCAGGAATGAGGAACTCGAAATTTCTAGAAAGATAGAAGGAACATACTGTCATGAATCAGAAAGATCTCCACAAAAATGTTTACAAGATTATTTTTCCGTTAAACCTAAAAGAGAATTGTCCAACTCCTACCCCCAAAGCCAAGCCAACCAATATAATGGCAATAGGCTATAAACTATAGAAAATCACATGGCAACAGTATAACAATGAAATTGTACCTGTAGATTGTGTAAATGGCCAGGACAGCATTTCGCCTGACATATGAGTGGCGGTGTTCCAGACACTGACGGATGGCAGGCATCAGTGGCTCGAGGAGCTCTGGTTCCTTCAACTTGCACAGAAAGCGCAAGGTGGATCCTCGGATAAACTCATTTGGGTGTTGCAAATCCTAGAAGAAAAAGAGTTCTAAGTAAACGAACCTAATTGACACTGTGATATTTTTAAAAAACAAAACAATAACAACAAAAAGAATCACAAGCACTCACAAAGAGCCTCATGTAAAGACAGGTAACCAATAAAATCCAGCCCAAAAATTTCTGAAATGATAATAATACACTACATTTTATAGATGCCCGTGGGGAAATTTAAGTTACAATGGCAACATACATACATAAAAAAATAAATACATATCAAACACAGAAATATACATACAAAAAATACAAAATACACTATATTACACCAATGGAGAACAATTTTATAAACGTGCCACAGCTAGTCGCCACTGTGCAGTGCACTGGATTTTTTTTAGCTGGGTTATCCTGTCCAGCTCAAGAACACACCCATCTAAACTCTGTGTCACAAACGCCTTCTTGACATTATTTTTTAAGTCAGCACTCTCTACTCACTAAGCCACAGGTGCCCCGGTAAAGAGAATCCATATGACAACAGAGATAAAAATATATTTTTGTAAAAGCTTTTTTACAGTTCCATCAAAAGTACAGTTCACAGAATACACATGTGAATTTTTATGCTCAAAATATTAGTATTAGGTACTCCAAGGCAATTTCAGTTTTAAACATTTATATTCTTAACTGTTCAGAAGACTCACCTTTCTGTAAGCATCACAGACCAAGATAAACTCTTGCAATAGCTTTCCCTCTGGGGTGTATTTTGGGACCACCTCCCAAAAGACTAGTAGCAGTTTCTTGACCATGTGATCTTGCATTGGCATCACAAAGCGGATGATGATCATCAACAGGGATGGCATCTTCTCTCCATTCAGAATCAGCTGAATTACTTTCTTCAGAGCTTCAATCTTAGTCCGAGCATCACCTGTCTCTGGATACAACCACAAGAGAAAGTTTAATTGTACCGTCTTTACAATGGACCATGGAAATGAAATACTATAAACAACAAACTGGAAAAAAAAGTTTTTAAATTCATTAAATCAGTTCTAGGTAAAAGTTAATTTATTTAGTGTTTAAGGCCATTGGCCCACATCACATCATATAAAACACTTACTTGTTAAGTAAAGTTTCAATAATGAATTTACTAACGTATTTACTTAAATCACTTCAAAGGAAGAAAAGCATCACCTATACCAAGTGATATACAACCATATATCAAATAAACCGGTCAACAAAGGCAGGTCTTTTTCTCAGAGCTACTCTGAGACAGAAAACAGATGCCTCACCTCTGAATGAAAATCTCAAGCTAATTGTAAAGTAAGTAAGAGAAGCAGAAAAATATTTAACACTTTAATGAAGGAAAAAAATATATATAAATACATTGACAAACATATAGTGCCTACTAAAAGATGTTTTATCAAGTAAATAAGCAAAACATTATGTTACCTAGATCTGTCTTGAGTTGCAATTCTGTGGGAAGCTCTGCACCCATTGGTACATTTATCAATGTGTAGCATGGCTGCTCTGCAATGGAGGCCATCTTGAATTTGAGTACTTCCTGAGCTGCTCTGAAATTTCAGTGTCCACTCCTGGAAAGAAATGTTTCAATACAGAATATCATTATGTTTTCTAAAAATATCACCTTATGACTCATAAGAGTATGAAAACATTTCCAGAGACTAACAAATTACATACATTTGTCTATTTAACCTTGAATTATTCAAGTATTCAATTTCTGATGTAATTCGGTTGGCAGAAGAAGAAAAAAAATTCAACATGTATCAACGGGACTAAGCTAAGCTGCGCTTAGAACTAGACAAAGTTAATATTAAATGCTTTCAAGGAAGGACTTCCATAACGAGCAACCACCCCAACAAACACAATTTTGAATAAAGAAGAGACCTAACCCTTCTTCTAACCCAACCTTTAACCCTGGAAGGGTGCAGGCCCTATATAAAGAACGCGAGCCGGGCTACCCGGGAAGCGCGCAGGCTCTATAAAGGGCTGACCTACTTCGATCAGGAAGCGCACAGGCCCTATATAAAGGGCATAGACGCTGACCTTTTTCAATGGAAAATTTTAATATTTGTTGAGCCGAAAATGGTAATTTTTTAGTAGCAGGTATACATCTCTGGTATCTCAGCTGATATCCCCCCCGCCAAACCCCCATGTTTACAACCGATAGGCCGTGGCAGCGGGCATTTTTGGCAGGTTAATTCGGGTGAAACACTGAGCGCTTCTAGGGTTGAGGCCTTTACCCATACCTTCTATTCTACTGTTTCATAGTGGCCGCTCATTACGGAATTCCTCCAGCTCTCAATTGTTAAAGTAAACCCAAGCTGAGCCATTCTATAATTAGCAACTTTTTTTCTATCAAAAAGAATTATTCGCACTCAGGGTGAGGATAAACTGGATATTATTCTCACCCATGGTGAGAATATAATTGATACTATGGCGGGGTGAGAATAACGACAGCTTACTATTCTCACCCGTTTTTTTCGTTTCGGGCATCATAGTATTCATAGGGCCCCTGTCACTGAGCGCTTCAGGTGACAAAACTCGCCTCCCTCTCTCACTCCCCTGAGCCTACTTTTGGCTTAATATTCTACTATATATTTCATTGTGCACGCGCAGAGAAAACTCGAGTTTTTTCAGTCTTCACAATGCGTGCACAGGTCAGTGTTGAATGTCAACTTGCCACAGCTGATAAAAACAGCTGATAAAAACACTCTCGATGATCCCTTGTCGGCAAACGTGTGATGGAAGTAAACAAAAATGGCAGCTGCACAAACTGACGCATTCAAGCAAACGCAAAAACGCAATTTGAGGCTAAAAACAAAGGAAAACAAAAGTGCACGCACCGAGAAGGCGCACGCGCAAGGGGCTACACCACTGTAGATAGGCACTTGGATATCGGCCCGCGCGGCCCGAGATTTTCGTTCACCTGCGGCCGCCGCGTTTTGTGTCAGAAATCGGGCCCCGTGAGGGGGGTACCTATTTGTTTTGTTTCGTTTATAGTGTTCTTTTCAATTTATGGATTACTTCCGCCTATCAAATTAAAGAGGAAAGAAAGGCGCGTATTATGGCGTTTTCCACTTCGGGATCGGTTGTGTGTGTTCGGAGTTACAAGGAGTTAAAAATAAGGTAAGTTCAAGCCTTTATATTTAAAGAGTATATCTTTTTTTTTTTAGGTACTCCTCACAGTCTTTTCTTCAACCTTTTATCTCTTTTATTTGTTAATTTCAATGTTGTACGTTGAGGCATAAGCGTGTGAGCCCTAATTTAAATAGGTCACTCTCCATGAATGGGCATGACCTATTATCGATCGCGCTGCTGAGCGTGAACCGGGAGGTCATGGCGGCCATTGCGGAAAGCGAACTTAACCCACGCTAACGTGTATTGTTGGCGTTTATTACCTCTTAAACGGCATTGAAGAATGTTTTATAGTAGAAGATATGATTTATTTTAAATTTTGGAATGTAATATGTATCACTGTTGTATAGTTCTTATGAATTTGAACCATGTAACAATCAGTAAGGAGTCTTGGGTGGGGGGAGGGAAATGTAACAGCCTTGGCCTTGTTTTGTTTCTGTGTTACTGTCACTGTTAGACCATCGATTTCACGCAAGTTTTTACTTCTTTGTGTGCTTATATTGTCTTTAAATATTTTTTCTTCTTAATTGTTTTTGTGTGTGCTTGTTATTTAAATATCTCTTTAAATTATCATGTACTTTGTCCAGTTTGTTTTAAGATAGATCTACATGTTTATTAGAAGATGTTTTTTCTCTTGTCTAGTCATCTACACCCTTTTACTAGAGTTGTAGTGTGAAAATGTCAAATTTCCATCCACTGCTCACAAATGAATTTATTTACTTCATTGATGAATTCATTGCTTTGCTTTTTTTTTTCTTTCCACAGCCCCTGATCACAACCTGCCACTGTTCCATTGGATTTATTGACAGCTCACCAGAATAAATCCTGACTTTAATTAAAATCCAGAAATGCTTGCGGAGTTGGTCGAATTCACAGAAAAACTTGTTTGAACAAGTTGCAAAAAAATTGAGCACTTAAGAAAGCATTTGTTGCAGACAAGGAAAAAAAATTGACATTAATTTAACAATATCAAGTTGGCAGACTGGGTGAACTAAACAATTGCCAGAAATAAAGAAAGAATAAATAAGTATCGTGACACAATTGCGTGCTTCAAAAAAAAACATGTCATATTTCACAACTAATTGTCTTTGAAGAAGTTGAACATTTAAATAAACACAATAAAAATATAATGAAAAACTTGCTGAACAAACTGAAGTAATAAAATTAGAAGAGACTATTGTTTAACTTACAGGGCAATCTCATGAGTTAAAGATGTAAAAGAGAAATCAAAGATAAAGACAGAGTAATTGATCATTTACATGACAAATTAAAACATGAAAGAAACATTCTAACAATAACATGCAAAATGAATTTAAAAAACAGTATTATCATGAATTAAGGTAGACTAAAAACACTAGTTTGCAGCAGCTGTAGACACAAATGTTAACTTTAAAAACTTCTATGCTCATCTTATTTTAGGCGACCAGCTGTTTTGTTAAAATATATTTTATTTTTTAATCAGTTTTTTTGTTAATTCTACTGATATTTGATATGTAGATGTTCCAAAAGAAAGGCCTTAAAAAGACCTTCAAAACGATACCTCAATTATTGATGTAGCTTAATTTATAAGAAAGTTATGGCAAAATATATTGACCGCAGGACGGTGCGGTCACGTTACACAACACAGTGTTACATAATATTACCCAATATTACCCACCACGACATATTTTAAAAATCTCGTCTGACTGTTATTTTGTCCTCAACATCACAAGGTTTCAGAAAATGTTTGGTTTTTGCATGTACGCAGCAGCATATTGAAGCAGCTAACATTTCCCTTGTTGTCCTTGCTGTTTCGATCACAAAAATTGCCTTTTTTTTCTATATAGATGTTATCCCCTCGAAAAGATCTTTAAAATGCCATATCTCAAAAACGGTTCAACATAGAGCAATAACTAAGGTAGCGTTGGAATCGTGTCACTGAGCTCTTTGCATTGGTATTGTTTTTAAAGCAATTTGAAAGCTTTGAAATTTTTATCCAAGTGCCTACTGTAGATCTAGAGTGGTGTCGCCGGTACGCGTGCACTTCGCGATCGTTGAACGTATTTTCCGCCATTTCCGGCTTTGTACTTTCGTTTTTAGCTATTCCATTCAAGAAACTATTGACCTATAAAATGGTCTTGCTCATAGTCGCCAGATTTCTTAAACGTTGTGTGCCGAACAGTTTTTCCAACCTAGGGTGTTGTCTTCACTGAGCGTGCATTTCTTCTCAGTGCGTGCATGGGATTCTTCACTGTGCGTGCACCCATATATACACGTTGAAAGCCAAAAGAAGAGGAATCTGATAACATTACTGCATTAAATGACCACACAGGAAGATAACAAGTCACTTTAGAAGCAAAGTAAGGCAATTTTAATTAGAATCTAAACTAATTTAATTTAGGGGGTATAAATAGTTCAAATACATAGTGAAAAAAAATCAAACAGAATTTTTCACAACTAAAATCCACATTTTCCTACTCTTCATCACTCATTCCTCTGATCTTTCCATCTTTCACACAGTCCACATGCCACCATCCATGACATTCTTCAAACTGCAACCAAATAATCTCTAAAATTGAGTCTACTTTTTTTCTTAGTATTCTACTATATATTTCATTGTGCACGCGCAGAGAAAACTCGAGTTTTTTCAGTCTTCACAACGCGTGCACCCCCCCGATCCCGAAACCTGCAATACAACTTGGCATAGAACTCGATAAAAGGTCACGTGAAACACTCAAGGAAGGAGTAGGCACATTTTTTAAGCTAGGGGGCGCGCACAGTCTATTTGAACCAATCAGAGGCAAATAGGTCATAAAAACTAGTTCACAGGTCAGCGTTGAATGTCAACTTGCCACAGCTGATAAAAACACTCTCGATGATCCCTTGTCGGCAAACGAGTGATGGAAGTAAACAAAAATGGCTGCTGCACACACTGACGCATTCAATCAAACGCAAAAACGCAATTTGAGGCTAAAAACAAAGGAAAACAAAAGTGCACGCACCGAGAAGGCGCACGCGCAGGGGCTACACCACTCTAGATCTAGATCTATATATTCTAGACTATTCTTGACTCTTGCCCAGAGTATATCTTGTTTATATTATTGTGGTCTAGCAGTTTATACTATAGCTTAACGCCCTACCGTAATAACTGCACTGTACAGTAGCAGTGAAGCAAGCTGGCCAGCAGACAAGTTGTTGAGTATTTTTGTTTCTCTGCTGGCATTGATGATTGAAAACAGTGAAAATCCCTCAAGAAGTAGAAGGAGCTTCCTTCCACCCAAAATCTTGCAAAGGCACGAGTGCCTGTACCATCAATAAATACTAAGTATGCATTAACTTAAACGTACCTGTTCAGTAGAAAGGAGAACGTCAACGTTAAATTTTAAAAAAATAAGCCGGTTTTCGGACTAGCTTTCCAGCTAAGCCTTAGCCTAAGCGACGGATAATGCGATGAGGTGGAAGCCGGAAGCTATTGTATGTTGTTTCCGGTGAGCCAGGTTTTGAAGTGTAGGCCTAATGACAAGTAAGTTATCTCAGTGTTGCTTTCTGTGGCAAAAAAAGAACCATAGATTTATCTGCTTCCCCTTCGGTATCTATCCAAAAAAGAAAATGTGTGAAATATTTATGAAATATTTCACTTTGTAAAGTTTTTTTTGGTCTGCAGACTGCATTTCTTTACAATAAGATAGTTACGTACTAAATCCTATGTGGCAGCTAAACTGACGAAATGTTTTCGGATTTCCACCGTGGCAGAGTGGCAGATCCTGCTTCTCTTGTCAATCGGATCGGTTCCTACTTTTTTAGTTGCTCTTTTAATCTCCTTGGTTGCTCCTAGCTCCCCCTTCCATCCTTTCTTTGGCTATATTACAAGTACATGTATTAGCAATTGCTCCTGTTAGGCCCAGAGTCATGCCTAGAATCTAGATCTTCTCGGTTTTTAGATTTTTAACAAAACATTTATTTGAAACATTATATATTTTCGGTTTTACACTCTGACCAAGAACGAACACACATGATACATGTACAAACACACACACACGCACACACACACCAACACAAACACATACATACACCCACACACACATACACACACACACACACACATATATACACACACACACACACACCCACACACTAAACTATAATTCTAGCATCTTCGTTTATTGACTCTTTTTGGTTCAAAAGTTGCCACCAAAAAATGGCAAAAGTTGCCATTATTTTTCAACACGTATAGCACTATATGTAGATAGAGGTAACTTAATCTAAAGTCTAAAGCACCAGAATTTCTTTTGCTCTGTTGTAAGCATTCAGAATATCATTTGTAGCCGCACAGAGTGTAAAAACGTGAAAAATAAAAGTTTTAAAACAAAATTAAATTGAAATTAGAACAGCACTTCATAAACAACCGCAAAAATTAACAGGGACCTAAACTTGTGTAATTCAAGAAAAAGTACTAGATAGGCCTATTAAATATAAATTATGGAATCGCACATAAGGGGCCTGCCAGTGTTAGTGTTCGATTTTGGTGGAGACACGTTCTAAAGATTCTAACACATTTTTTAAAATGTAGGAATAACATCAAATTAAATTACATTACGCTAAATCTCTATAGACACAAAAAATAGAAAAACAACACATCAGAACAAAACTTAAATAATAACGCACCAACAAAGAGGGAAACATAAAAGACAAACAGCAGTATAAATAGTGCGTTAATAACTTATATTCTTCACATGAAAATAGCTTTCTCATGGACACCTTAAAATTATCAATACATGTCTAATAATGTTATGAAGTATCTTTTTCTTTTTGAAAACTGCAAAAATCGCGGCCGCGATTCGTGTATCGTGGCCGCGACAAACGCAGATGCTACTATGCTAGTATAATAATTGATCTATTATTATTTCGAAACAGACGAAAAACGTTTGCAGAAAAATTTCTCATGCTCTGACTACTATCACTATCAGAGACTCTTAGATACTCTCTGCTACTATGTTGACTGCTAATAATATTCTGTAGAGCAGACTGCTGAGACTGCAGTCCTTCGCGCGGACTATTTGATTAGAAGTAGCTGCAACTTTGTAAAGTGGAGTAAATATATCACAATCCTGATTATATTTCTGAAGTTTTCACCAAGTGATTCAGTGAACTTTCTCATTCAATTTCTGCCATGATGAAAATGAAGGCAAGCTCACTTGAACTTAATGTAATACTCTAGATCTAGATCTAGTTTTGAATTAGGCCACCTCTATTGAGAATAGCGCAGGCGAGTCTTTTGGCTATTCTCACCCGGTGGGCGTTCACCGTTATAGCCTAGGCCAACCAGTGAAGCGTTCACCCTGAACCACAGAATTCTACACTGTGATAACAGAATTATAGAATTCTCTGCTGTGAACAAACGTTCTAGATCTATTACTACTGTTAGTGATTGTGTCTGTGGGCAGTGGAGAGAGAGAAAGAGAGAGAGAGGAGTAGCGCGAGAACTTCCGGGCAAAACAAAATGGCGACCCGTGTAGTTCGGCTCGATTCGGAAAGTTAAATAGCCATAGCATCTTTGTAGACAACCAAATTAATTTAGTTTTCTTGTTTAAAATCATTTTTTAACTTTGTTTTGGTCAATTTGATCGTCCACACTGATAGACAGTATTCAGAAAGAGACAGAGAGAGAGAGGGGAGGAGTAGATCTTTTGAGAACTTCCGGGCAAAACAAAATGGCGACCCGCCATAGCATCTTTGAAGACGATCAAATTAGCTTACTTTTGTGCTATAACGTAATTTTTTCTTGGCTTTTATCAATTTGATCATCCACATCGATAGAAAGTATTCCAAAATGAGGAAAAACAGGTCTTGTTTCACACCGGGTGAGAATAGCCTACGCTGGCAAGTCTCACCCGGGGTGAGAGGTAGATCGTATTTTTATTCTCATCCCGGGTGAGAATAGCCACTTCCTTTGAATTATTGTCGGTCTACTCAGACTCCCGACTTAGAGTTGTGGTGATTTATTGAAATACCCCCCAAAACGCCAGTCTTCAACGCTTGTGACTGGTGAAAGGGCCCAGTCGCAAGTGAGATAAGACAGCCCCTCCCCCTCCCCTTTCTCTCTCTCTCTCACTCTCTAACTTTTCCTCTCTCCATCTTACTTCCCCAGGCCCACCCCACCACTTTCATCCCTTTTTTTTGCATATATAGATCTATTTCCCTCCCATAATACCTTTGCCCACTGCCCGGCCCTACTATTATCCTTTGTAAAGAAAAGACCACCGTTCGCGCTTGGTCACCGCGGTCGGCATCCATTTGTTGAAAGTTCCTTGGCCAGATGGTAAAAACCGAGGAAGACCAAGGTCGAATTGCTTGTCTGCTTCACATGCGGTACACCTAGTGATTGCACACACGGTAATTGATACTATCCATGAGATCTGTCTAAGATGACCATATTTAACATTTTTCCTGTTCCTCAACAGAAACTGCATTATACATTTGTCTTTTCCCGATTGTTTTATAAAATCAGCGAGCTGCCAATAGCCTATCCTACTGGTCTTCAAGTAGGCCTACCTCCTTAACTTTGAGGTTTTTTCCTTCCCGAGACAGTTACTAAATTACTACACACAGTGAAAGTAAAACAGAAGCAACAGAAATGGGGCATTCACGACCTTATAGATCATCTTTCTAGTCCATAATTCATATTATCTTTCTAATTTACAACATCAGTATACCGCGCTTAAATATAAATATAAATGCTTTGGGAAGTGGATTTGATGCTGATATATAAAAATGTCGATAAATGAAAATATAAAGCCAAAGAGGAAAAAACAAGGGGAGGTCAGAGGTAAAAAGACAACGCTACTTTTTTTAAGCTGGTTGCCTCCCTTGATTCTTACACAACACAGTGAAACTAATAAGGGGGGGGGGGGGGGAGTTGGAGTTACGATACCAAAGACCGAGCAACACGAGTCACACGCTACACACCAGCACAAACTTTGTTGTAGCATCCATGTAAGGCTTATTTATGGCCACTTGCTGAGGAAAATGGAAGCGAGGCACTGACTCACTGACCGTGGCACTTACCAGCGACAGACTGAGAATGGGATGGAGAAGGGGAGGGAGCAATCGGGAGTGGGGTAGGGAGGTGATGCCCAGCGCGCGAGACACTTACGTCTGTGAGGCACTTTACTGTGTTGGAGACTACACTGTGAAGGCCCTACATGACCGACTTTAGCCTCATGTGGCGAATAGGCTACTTGGCGGGTTTGCGGACTTAATGAAGAACTAAAGCGTTGACCGTTAGTGTGACTTTTTCCCCTATATATGTGTTCGTGGGCTTCGCCAGGTATCCAGGAAGCATGTCGAAGCAGAGTGGGCCAAAAAAAGTTGATATAAGAGAAATTGTTTAGTGAAGATATTGAAGGAAAAATTTCGTAATTGGAAAATATGTTGTGATAAATGTTGATACATTGACTGTCGATATAACTTATAAGTGGATTATACTGTATTCCTTCTCAAAATTTCATCTTCATCATCATCCGGTGCCTTGCCGACTGGTGTGGGCGATCATGGACCTCCACTTCACTCTGTCTTGCATTGCAACAATGGTGTCTGTTGTTCTTGCTGCTCCTAGCCATGTTGTCATCTTGTCCAGTATATTTTCCCTCTGTCTGCCTCTGCCTCTCTTTCCTTCAAACTTGCCTGTTGTTACAATATTCTCCAATGCTTCTTTCTGTATTATATGTCTGAAGAAATTTGCCTGTTGCTTTCTTATATTCGTCCTAAGTTGTCTTCTATAATTTGCTTCAACCAAGACTTCTTCATTTGTTTTTCTAGCTCTCCATGGGATACGGAATCACGGATTCATACAAATATCTTGGCCTTACAATGGACTACAAATTTACATGGCAAAACCACATAAACAATATAGTTAAAAAGGTAAATCAGAGGCTGTACTTTCTGAGGAAACTAAAGTCTTTCAATCTGAATCCATCCATCCTTCAGATTTTCTACACCACCACAATAGAAACTTTGATAAGTTTTGGTATCACTTGCTATGGTAGCAATCTGGGAAGGCAGCACATTATAAAAATAAACAAGTTGATAAGAAAGGCATCAAGAACAATTGGTAGAGACCTAAGTAGCTTTGAATATCTGCACGAGACAAACGTTCTAAAAAAGGCGCAAATAATGCTTAGTGACCATAGCCACCCACTGACATCTGAATTTCAACTATCGACCCGCAGTAAATGATACATTTCCAAAATAGCAAGAACAGACAGATATAGAAATTCATTCGTACCAACTGCAGTGAGGTTACTGAACACACAGTGCTACAAATGAAACAGAGAGAGAAAGAGAGAGAGAATGAATGTTTTACGGAGCGGGTTGTCCCAGCCTGTGAGACATGTATTTACTTGGCCTAATGTCCTGTCTTGTTGTGCGTTTGCGTGATGAGTGCACCTTTAAGTCTCACTTTTGTAACGTCTACCGCCATTGTCAACTACCAAGACAAATTTCTCCCTGCGAGATGAATAAAGATTGTCATTGTCATTGTCATTGTCATTGTCGTCATTGTCATTAAAAAATGGAGGTAGGGCTTTTTAAACAGTCAACAGCTGCTCCCTCAGTATGGAATTCCCTCCCATTGCATTTTAGAGGGCCACCTACTTTGACTGCGTTTAAATCTAGTCTAAAAACACATTATTACAATCTTATTTTATTTTCTAGTTTTATTCTTCTTGCAACAGCAAGTGTGATAAGTAGCCATAGGGATTATTGTCCTTTGATGTGTGTTCTTCATCAGATTACGAGTGTATTATGAATTGAAAAAATTGTTGAATGTTGAAACTGCGACTGGTTTAGCAGGCCGGCAGTGGATATTATTATTGCTCCAGAAAATAAAAGGAGACACAAACGGACCACAGAACACCATGCAATTATAACAGCTACCATGTATTGGAACTGTGTGCACAGCACGACTTTTTCATCACCAACACCTTCTTCCGGCACAGAGCCTCTCAGATCTACACCTGGTACAGATGGAACAACATCAAGGTCTCATCACAGATTGACTTCATATTAGCGAGATCTCGAATGCGAATCACAATCACAGACTCAAGAGCCATCCCCAATGCAGGCCTGGACACAGACCACAAGCCAATCATCACAACGTTGACCACCAAGAAAGAAAGAAAACCAAAAAAACATAAAAGATAGCAAGAGAGACTAAATATGCATAAACTCGCAGATGATCAGGTGCAGGCTCAGATCAGATGCACCTTAAATGAAAAGCTAGGCTCTATCAACTCTACAATACCAACCGTAGAGGAAGCTTGGGACCCCTTCAAAACAACTCTCCTGGACACTATGAAAGAAGTCTGTGGTACCAAGAAGACAAGAGGAAAACACAGAAAAGCAACAGCCTGGTGGAACGAAGAAGTTAAGGATGCTATCAGGGGAAAAAAAGAGACTGTACAATGTATGGGTCAAATAAAAAAACGAAGAGGACTACATTAAATATAGACTTGCAAGAAGGCACAGCAAGAAAGTCGTTATAACATCAAAAGAAAAGTCATGGACCCAGTATGACGAAAAGCCAAGTGAAACCTGCAAGACCTCATCAAGAGAATTCTTCAAGAAGGTGAAGGCAATGAGAGTGAGAGACGAACCCTATGTACCCACCACTGTCATCAACAGTACCAATGGAGAAGCTCTACACGAAGAGAAGGAAATAATAAAGAGATGGGAAGAATATTTTCAAGAACCACTAAACCCATCTGGAGTACAAACACAAAATACACAGTGCCCCTTCATCGCCAACTACCCAGAGCACTCAGAACCTACCACCCTGGTGAGTGAATTGAGAGAAGCACTGAAGACTAGTCCAAAGAACAAGGCAGCTGGAGACGATGGCATCACTACTGAAGCCATCCTTGCATGCGATGAAACCGGAATACATTGGCTTACAATCATCTTCCAGAAAGCCTGGAAAGAGAGAAAAATACCAGCAGACTGGAAAAAATGCGATAGTGGTGCCAATATGGAAGAAAATGGGCAGCAAGAAAGACTGCAACATCTACAGAGGCATATCTCTTTTCAGCCCTGTGGGGAAAATGTATGCAAAGGTCCTAGAGCGACACTCTGGCACGAAGCAGAACATCTTCTCAGTGACGCCCAGTTTGGTTTTAGAAAAGGAAGAGGGTGCACTGATGCAATCTTCGCACTCTGACAACTGTGTGAGAGGGCTTTGAAATACGACCAAGATCTCCATCTCGTATTTGTGGATCGAGAAAAAGCCTTTGATCGAGTAAATAGAAACAAGCTCTGAAAGATCCTGGAGCAGTACAACATCAAAAGACAACTGCTAGACTAGATCAGGCTATCTGTGCCAACAGCAGAAGCGCAGGCCGCACTACCAGTGGAACATCGGACTGGTTTCCCAGTAACATCCGGAGTCAGACAGGGCTGCAATCTCTCCCCTCTGCTCTTCGTGATCTACATGGACCAGATTACAAAGGAGGCCAATCCAGACCCAGAGGCACTCAACAAACTTATGTTTGCAGACGAACTGGCAATTATGAACAAGACCCAACTACAGGAGCATATGAACCAACTAAATGAGAGCTGCACAAAATATGACGTGAAGATCAGTATTAGCAAGACGGAAGTCATGACAATTAGTAGGAGACCAAACAAAGTGGATATCAACATCAACGGATCCCAACTAAAACAAAGCAGCGAATTCAAATACTTGGGCAGCATTTTCACAGAAAATGGAAATTTTGATCGAGAAATAGAGACTAGATGCCAGAAAGCCAACGCAATCAGCTATCAACTCGGCCCTCTCCTGAAACATCCCAATATCCTCATGAGCACCAAGACAAAGCTCATCAATGCTATTTTCCTACCAACACTCACATATCAGTGCCAGACATGTTCCCTAACAAAAGCCCTAGAAAGGAAACTGGTCACATGCGAGATGAAATGCTTAAGAAGAGCGGTTAACAAAACAAGAAGAGATAAAATAAAAAATGAATTCATAAGGGACACCGTAGGAGCAACATCAGTCCTACCACACATTGAAAAACAAAATATCAAGTGCTTCGGACCCCTCATGCGGATGCCCTCAAACCATCCAGCTCTGAGATCATACAACATTAAATATTCTGGCTGGAGGGCCAGAGGAAGACCAAGGCCACGATGGAGTAAATCTGTAGCAGACACCCTCAGAGCTCACAGGATGTCCCTCCTACAGGCCACTCGCCTTGCTGCAGACAGACGCCTGTGTCTCCCCGCGACACCCACTGGTACAAGCGGAAGAAAAAAGTAAAAGTTGAATATTGAAAGTAGAGGATCAGTATGCATGAAACATTCATTGAAATCTAATTAATCTTATTTTATTGTGAAGTACCTAGAGCCACCACTAAGTGATCTTTAATATTATGATCAGTATTATTACTGTTGAATCTGTACAAGACAGAATGCAGGGGAGCCAGAAAAAAATCTGTCTTAAACAGGGAAATTTAGAAGGAGATGGAGGGGGTTTCAGAGGCCCAGCTGTTGTTTTCACTTGTCTGGTCAGCATGCAGTGGTCAAAGCTTCACATCTTTCACATGATGCTATCCTTTCTGAAATTGACATGCTTCAGTCCTACTTATTCATTGCCACTAGTGCTTATATTTCATAGGACCACTGTTGGACCTATTAAAAACAGAAACGATTGAATATATATCTTTTTTGCTTCCACCCACTTAGTGAGTCTCACCCATCGGTGTAATAAGTACAGTCAACCAGTGCCATCCCTCCCATACTTGGAACAATGATTCAAAGATAATTTTGCTCAGCTAGATCAGAACGACAGGCATTGGTCAAACTAATTTCACACCCATGGCCTCTTGCTACCCATGAAAGTTTCCATGCAGTAGCATCACTCGAGCACTTTCACAAGCACTTGTGAGATTTGTCTTACTCAGGTTTCGGTTAAAGGTGGTTCGACAGTATTATTATTATTATCACAAATTCACAAACTATGGCCCCTTCACTTAATGTTTAAATGCCATTTTCTCTGTCTTAGAGCTGGAGTCCGCTCAATTTTTGATTTGATGATTTGACCTGGTGATTGGAGGCTTGAGACTTGAACTAAAGGCTTGCGAACACGAGCGGGTTTGCTACCGGGGTACAGCTCTATAATAGTTGTCTTTCCTCATTCCTTGACCTCTTTCACTTGTTGTGAGTTGTTTGAATTAATGTCGCGTGGAGGCATATGAGGCTACTATAGAGTGTGCGCGTCTTTTGTTTTTCTCAAAATGATTTTTTTCATTTCTTACAGGTGATGTTCTTTTGCATATAAAGAATGCCAGTATGATAATTGTCGCTGGCAATTTCATTCATGCAGAGGTAGAGTCGGTCTCCTCAAGCAAGAAGTGCAAAGTAAGAAACTGAATTGTACTTAGTAACATTTGAAATGCTGATAACTGAGTTTCAAAGCTTATATAGAATTTAGTATGTTTCTGAAGAAGTCTCCTCTTTGTTTATATTGCTGTGGGAGATTTTGATGCTTCTTGATTTTCCCCCTCAATTATCGCACATGATGATCTTCAGATCTTTTAGCTCTGCATTAGGATTTTTGTCGTGATTCATGATAATGCAGGTTCATGATTCACTGCCTTAACTATTTTAATGTACACAGGTTTCTAAAACTTAACCTCATGAAAAATTGTTTCAAGAAACTCAAATGCCTTCATCAGACTAGATGGTCTCTATTTCACAAATGATAGTCAGGGGTTTGCCCTCACATTTAGTACTTATAATACATATATGAAAAGTAACGAGTCATGGAGCATAAGGATACGACTATCTGGGTGCAAGTGAGTTTTGATTTTTGATGACTTGTTCTCAATACAGACGGTGATTGTTGCTCCTTGTGTTGTGGTTGCTGCTGCACTCTTGTCCTCTGATGCTAGGAGATCAGTGGTTCTGGCGACGCGAGACAAGAGAATATGGTGTGTGCCTTTGACTGATTCAAGGTAATAAGACCTTCATTCACCCTAGCTATTCTGTTGAGTTTGTTAGAAAAAAAGCAACAGTCCCTGAATGTGCCCTGTTACAGTCATGTTTGTGTTTGCAATGTCACCCTGGAGATCAGTGATCATCTCATGTCTTTTTTACTTAGAATTACTTAATGTCAAATAAATATTAATAAGAGATTTCAAATATATAGAGCATTGCAAATAAAGATATGTCAGCTTTTTATGTCTATGTAAATTACTGTTTCCTCTCTGATTGTTTTGTTGTTACTTCAATGCTGTTGGCTAGATGTAGATGTAGTGGTCTCTGGCTTGTAGCATACACCTCAGGTGACAAGAAAGGTGTGCTTTTATGCGAACCTGCTATCAAGTAAATACTCAAGTCTGTAGTTCAAAGCAATGTTCATTGATTGATCTGAACCACCCAGCATTGGCAGCATCTGATCTCTTTCAGTAGTTTGTGTCTTTGAACTGAGCTGGTCCTGAGGTGTGAAGTTTTCCTGTGCCGAGCAATCACAGACAACAACTTATAGTTATGACAAAGTCCTCTCACTCTGTCTACCTGCCACAAATGGCTGGTCATAGTCTTTCCTCATAGCTCAATTCTGTCTCACACCTCCATTGTCTGCATACATTCTTTTTCTTTCTAGCAAAGCCACAATTTCAAGTAATAAAGGAGAGAAATAAGTGCTTAAAAAGTCATTTCATGGTTGATCTATTTCTGACACTAGTCATGGAACAATCATACTATTAATGGTTTTAGTATAACATGGAGTTGTTGATTACGATCGTGCACTAACGAGTGATAATTATAGATGTATATACAGTCCACACCGGCTTTAAGCAAGGTCATCGGGAGAAAGCATAAGCGTGCTTAATGCCGAAGCGTGCTTGAGTGCGGAGTAGATATAATCCAGAGATTTTCATGTAGAAAATTTCTTGTGTGATTTTTCCTTGTTTGTAAGTAGGCCTATAACGGTCCCGCAAAAGTGTGCACTGTTATTTTTACCCGCCATGGTAGTTTTCATTTGTTTGTTTGTTTGTTTTGTTTTGAGGTTGAATGGGAAAGGAAAACTTAATTGAGACGGCCAGTCACGAAACAGCACACTAGGCCTACACACTGCCTGTGCGTACCACTTTCATACCACTGCCTTCACCCCCCCCCCCCCCCCCCCCCCAAAGAATACACGGTCTTTGATCCCAACTCGCGTGTCATACCAAATCAGGATTATCGGATAGCGAGGGTCAATAAGGTGAAATCGCAGCCTGCCTCCTTTTCTTGTCTCCCCGACTTTCTTTGTATTTTTTTTTTCATCTGTGCGTAGCTTTGCACTAGGCGAGATCCTTTGTCCATGCGAGCGGCTGTATGCATCTCTTTGCCTTCCTCCCTGCGCATGTGTGTGTGTCCATCACTTGAATTCTTTGTGTTTCTCTTAACACTCTCACTGCTTTGGTGTAGATCGTGTTCGAACTTCGATGGGTCATCATTAAAGTATTGACTGTCTTGTAAATGAAGCGTGCCTGAAGCCGAAGTTACAGTGCTTAAAGGCGTGTAATTTATATAGCAAAAATTCTGTAAGAGCCGTTTAGCATGCTTGAGTCCGAAACGTGCTTTATGCCAGCGTGCTTAAAGCCGGCGCGGACTGTATAGGAAAATTCAGTTCCATGCTGCCAGCTGCTTTAAGGCAGGCTGCTGTTATCTGGAGTGCTATTAGCCAGAGACCACTGTTGTTGTATGTTATTGATTACTGTTGTATGAAAGTGTAAATTTGCGATTTTGCAGAGAGGAAAAAATTGACACGGACAAAGACAATGCATCAGAGGACATTTTCGGAGATCTGCTTCAAGATGGTGTCGAAGTCCACAGAAGGACTGAAGGTGCAAGCTCAAAGCTAAAGCAACCAACAGACAATGAAGTCAATAATAAAGTGGTCTGCCTGTCATCTCAAGATCTGGTTGTGTCTTTGGACTGTCCAGTACTGGACCTTTTGGTCGTCGGTAACCTTGTCTGTGTTCTTACCAGCGCTTCTGGTGGCGCCGTTGTACGTCTGTACCGACAGGATGTGCTGCTTGTCAGACCGGCGGCGGCAACAGTGGCACCTGAGCTGTGTATCCACACTGGGGTGATGACCAAACTACTACTTGAAGGTACTTGGGGGGGGGGGGGGGGGGTGGAGATTGGCTACAACTGCAGTTTGTTTGGATTAGATTTTGATACAGCCTAAAACCTTTGATTTGAAATGTTTTACCAGTTCAACAACATGATTAAAAGTAGTGAGTAACTTTGATAATGGAGCATTTAATGGCATTTTTTCTTGAGAGACAGTGTTGCTCTGATTGACTTTTCTCTCTTAACTTTTCTCAGTGTGTACTTTGTATTTTTTATTGTGTGCAAAAGTTTGTATAAAAGTTTGGCTTAATGTTCTGTCCTCAGGAGCCAAGGGGAGGCTTATGCATGTTGCTGTCTTGAGGGAGGAGTCAGGGTCATTGTCTGATGATATGATGAGTCAAGCAAAGGCTCCGCTGTGCCTTGGCAGACATTTGTTCACTTCGTTGTTTGGGACTGAGGCTACAATTTTGAAATCACCTGTTCTCATGCTGAGTACTGCGAATGGTTTCGTATTTTCATATCCAATAAAGTTGAGCTATGAAGCATCTCTGGATACCCGTTTGGTGACCTGTCAGCTTGACCACAGGATTACTAGTATTGTGCTGCTCAAGGTAACTCACGGCCCGCCAGCTCACAGTGAAGAGAACAGTGCAGCAATACTTGCCCTGGAAAATGCTTTGCTGTCAGTTAGCCCAGAGGGTCAATATGGTGAAGATTCAGAAGCATTATGTGTGTGCTCTGAGTCAGGCAAGTCAATATTTGTTTTTCCATCAAGGCATCAACTCTGTATCATTACTGTTAGTCTGTAATAAAATCTTCAGTATACAATTACAGTAAAACTAAAACCCTTTAAAATAGTAGATGACCATTTTTGATGTTATGTAGTGTCATATTATAATTTGTAATTGTGATTCAATTTGGCAACAGATTTGGAATGAGTGTTAAACTTTAGATTTAATCGCATAGCAGAATTATAATGTTTTCTTTTTCAAATCATTTAATCTTAATGACTTGTCCTTCAGACATTGCAACTGTGATCTATGTATAAAGTTATTGGGGGGGGGGTTATGTTTACTTATTTTTCTTTTCCCTGGTTTGTTTAGATTTCAGTTTGAAACACTTTAGGGGGCCCCTAATGTAACCATTCTTTTTTAGTCCAAGAAGAAATTGTTAATTTTACTGTGCCCAAATTGCTGTGCTACCTAGGTTTACAACATCCTTTCGTGCAACACAATTCTTCTGCAATTGTTAATGTTCCCTCTGCAAAAAAATATGCCATTATAGTTTACATTCTTATTGATTTTTTGTTATGACCCATATTTACAGTGCTTTATCCTCCAGGAAACTGCTGCTTGTTCTTACCCTCATCACATGCTGCACAGAGTCCCGCCATGCTAAGATTTTCCACAACATCTCCCATCAATTGTTGTGTCTTCAAAGAACCGTATCTGGTCTACAGCACAGGTATAATAACTGAATGGTGTTCCTATGTCCTTTCCTGAATTTCTGATTTTTGTAGCTGAAGCATAGACTTTGTGTAGTGTAAGTCTTAAACTGTACTAAGAACCTCATACACCAGCACCAAATTCTAAGAAAGTTTGGATTCCATGGAAAGAGAAAGGATAACTTTTTAGGTTTTACTTTCATAAAAATCAATACTCAATCCGTAAATGACCAACCTCAGACAATTAAATAGCTTGGATAGCCAGCAGGAATGTGAAAGTACAAAACCATGAAATCTACTCTTGAGTAGTGAACAGTGACTGAGGTGATGTGTTGCACACAGGTCTCTGGAGACAAATCTGTTGTTCAAACTAGATTTTAAGATATTACGTAGGCTGACCATTGTGACTTTTTCCCCATGTAAGCTTTACAGAATAAAGATGGCGCTCATAAGACCTTATGAAGTTGCGAGTGCCGTAAAACCTCTACTAAAACAAAAACAAGCAGAATAAAGACTGTGTCTAAGAGAAACAAATACATCATTAGACATGCTGTACAGTGTTTGCCCAGCAAGTAGCCCTAAATCTGTGCACTTTTTTCCTCTCATTCTACTTCTGATTTCATTTTTTGAAATCTCATCATGCAAGAAAGCTAGGCCTAGCGAGTCCAGAGGCTTAATAGGGAACATGGTGACTGTGATTTGAGAGGGTTAGGGGGGGGGTTCTCTTTATTCTTTGCCCTTCAGCTTCCCTCAATTTGATAAAAAATTCCATCTGATCCAGTTAACTATAACATAAATGATTTTTGAGCAGTTTCATCATTCTCCTTCGGCTGACTCTTCCTCTTTCCTTTTTTTTTCACTCACATATCCTACCATTGTCAGTACACATCACACATTTCACAGGACAGGAAAATGTGACACTGGGAAGCTGCCTGCCATCCCTAGTTTGTTGGAAAAGTCCCACTTTTAAAAAATATTTTGTAACTATATTTCTTTATAACGTCCACCTATGAATTACCTGTTCGAAGTTTTGTTATTTATTGTTGTTTTTTTTTGCTTTTTTATGTAAATGAGTAAACCATTAAGTTAACAGTTACAACTTCCCTTGAACCTCGTTCTGTGCATTAACCCTATCCGTACGCCTGGGGTCATTTTGTACCCCCAGGGTTGTATTCTTCACATTTTAGAATACTTCTAGTTGGAAGATCTCTTTGAAACTTTCAGTATTTCTCAAAAAATCATTTTGACAGACTGCTATGCAAAGCATATGGATCGGATTAACGAGTAAATTTCCTCTTTGAAAGTGGTGGCACAGAGTTCCTCACATCGTATGGATACAATAGAAAAACACGACATACTGATAAGGTTAAGCATCCATCTGATATTAAAGATAAGGTTTCCTTTTTTTCAATTTCCAAAAGTCGACAGCTGCGCACGTGTTATTTATGACTGAAAATAGGTTAAACAAGGCCTAGCATTTGATCTGAACAGTAATACAGGAGTCTCCTTTCCATTTTTTGTTCTGCTGTAACATGAAGAAATTCTTTGGTACTGTGAAGTTGGTGTTATCAGGGTCTTACTGTTCATTATTTGTTAACACTAGTGCTGTAAATTCCTTTTGATAAGAGCAAAGCAGTCACTTTTTATGCATGTTGAAACGGTTGTGTACTGATAGCAACAAGGTCTTTTATGTGCAGCCAGAATAAAACCCATTGAAAGTGGTCTGCTGTCTCCAGGGCACAGTATCGAAGCATGCAAACTCACGGTGCAAAGACAGCCTGGGAAAGCCACAGATACTGTTCTGTCTGTTGCCACAACACTATCGAGAAAGTCAGCCATTGTACAGCTTGTACCAGGGTCTCTACACTCTATGGGTAAGGACTAACACTCTGTTCAGAAGGAAAAGTTCTTATTTGTTTAAGTGTTTTCTGGCCCAGTTTAAGTTTTTGAAGTGGCAATTTAGAACCTTATTCATCAAGAGACTTTTAAGTTTGCTTTTCTGTCTTGATCTAGGATAGGCTTTAAGAAGTTATCCTGCCTCTGAAGTAATGCACAAAATATATTGGTATGGACATTATAACCGAAGAAGAAAATTGTGATTTTGGTACAATGCTTATAAAAAAATGTGATATTTAAAAAGCAGCAATGCAGTTGTGATGTAGTTAAACATACATTGTTTATTATCCCTCCTGTTGATCTCTACTGAACTTGCTTAACTCATGTTTCTTCTTTATTTTATTTTTTTTAAATCTGGTATGCATAATATACATATCTTAATGTCAAATTACTCCTGTGCAATTGAGCAACATTCCTTTAAAACAAATTCACTAATTTTTTTAAGTTCACCATATGTGTCGCGACATGGTGGAATCAGGCGTTCGTCAATTTTTGGGCCTATGAGGTTATTGGTATCGTCTTAAAGCCTCTTCATTTGCCTTGGTTTTGGTGAAAAAAATTTGCAATGAAAGAGGTCAAGGTCGCCTGCTTTCAGAGGTGAAAGTAGGGAGAAAATGACTGCCAAAATTTGGTAATTTCCTTATTTTGAGAGTCCTTTGAAACTGAAAATTGACATTTTTTGTGCCTTAAATCAATGTTTTTCAGTAAAATCCACACCGAAATGTGTTTTTAAATGGGTATAAAAGGTGTTGTGCCAAAAAAAGAAAGTTAGAAAAAAATTGCCCAACAGTAAGAAAAATGCCAATTTCTTTACTTTCACTATTTTGAAGAGCGCCTTTCATCATGATGCCTCACATATGTTGATTTTTTTTAAATTGATCTTTCAGGATCAGCTTCAAAAGTCACAGGTATCACTGGCAATCTGGATGTGGTTTCCATTTCTGTGGAGGAGCAGGATGCTGCTCAAAGTCAAAGTGTGACTGGGGATGTGTCACTGAGGAGTGTCATGGAGAAAATCAAAGAATCCTCTGTGGAAGTTAGTGAGAAGAAGAGTCAAATGAAAGAATATGATTCCTACATTCAGCAGTTGAACATTTTTGCCTCACTCCTAATGCTTTGGGAGAAAAGGAAAAAGAAGCATTCCTCCTCCACGGATGATCTTATTGCTTGTACATGCAGAATCATTTCTCAACAAGATGGTTATTCTCGTAAGTGGTTTATAGAAGTGAAACTTAAAACAAACAAAAAGTGTTCTTTCTCCAGTGACTGGCTGATCACAGTTAGTGTTGACACCTTCACTATGACAGCAAAACACAAATTATGCACTTTCTCATATCCCCTAGTGAAAGGTCTTGATACAAGCTCGAGCATGGTGCTCTCGATCCCTTTAGAGAATGCCTTGGAGGCAATGCCTTGGGGGCAGTCTGAACTCTCTGTTATTTTTACTTTGAAGTCTGCTGAATTCATGCTGACCACAAATTGCTTTGATCAGAATGTCAAAGGGTTAAAGGTGGAGGTGCACAGAGAGGTTGTGGATGCTTTCCATTTCCTGTCCAGACTTGACATCGACTCTTCCAGTAGTAATTCTCCAGGACACCAGAGCCTGTGGCTGCACGAAGAACTCATAGCATTGTCTCAGTCCAGGGAAAGACATGGAGAACAGTCCAGGAGACTTGTATCCACGGGGACATCCCCAACTGTTGAAGCAGCTGTCCTTATCCCTGACATCAGAGGTGAGTGAGAAGTTCACATTGTATATTACTGCCTCTTTCCATACCATTCCACCAGCTATCAATTATAGTACGACACATATGCCAATCCCTGATTTATTGCCAATATATGGTATACTGTCCTTTGTTTCCTTTCTTCTCTCTGCTTGTGAAACTTTATAATAACTATTAACAATGAACATTTCTGTTTGAAGCTTACTTTACTTGATAGAGTCAGTCCAGTAGCTGACTTCTCCTCATCCCTAATTTAGCATACAACACACTAACCTGACACATACATGAAAAGCCTTCATGAAAAGGGATAAACTTAAAATGTACAAAGTTCTCCCACTTTTTTCCTTTTCCTTTATTCCTCCAATACTACATTTATGTTCTCAAACAATTGTCAATGTTGCTGTCCCTGACTGAATAGCTTTAGGAACTTAGAGAATTTGAACAGATGAGTGAAGGGAAAAGATCAGAATAATGTAGGGCTGGTATTTTTTAATAGAAATTTAAGCTGAGAAATGGCTATCAAGTCATGATTCTCAATGTCTGTTTCAGATCTAGCACTCAAAGATGAAGAAGCTCAGAGGAGTGAACCAGTGGATATTCTCAAGCTCATTCTACATAACAGTAACATGTCAGCCGAGAGCGTGATGTCACCATCATGTCAATTGGAAGGACCAGATGGGGTCCAGGTGACCATCTCCGTTGACCATTGTGGGGACATGCCTACTGCAACATGCTCAGTTCAGGAAAAAGTCAAGTTTGTGGTGACACTGAGAAGCAGTGATGCCATCCTAGTGGCACAACTGAGGAATGCCCTTGTTCGGAGAGTAAAGGTAAGCGGAAAATTTCTGATTAAATATTCCACTCAATAAGGAAAGAATATGAAACAGGTTTTGAACCCAGTCAGTTGTTTTAATTTTAAAAAGACTTGAACACAGCCAGATATGGATAAACAGGTTTTAAACCTCCTTCTGTTTGGGTAAAGAATCTGAACCCAGATCTGGTGAGGGTAAAGAATTTGTCCCCTTTATTGTTTTAGTGCAGATTTTGAACTCAGTCTGGTGGGAGTAAATAGGATTTGAACCCCAATCTGTTGCAGGCGAAAAAATTGAACCCAGTCTGTTGTGGATAAAAAATCTTGACCTGATCTCATTTGGGTAAATAGGTTTTGAACCCCAATCTGTTATGGGTAAAGAAATTGAACTCAGTCTGTTGTAAATAAAGGATTTTGACCCAATCTAGTTTGGGTAAATAGGTTTTGAACCTGGTCATTAATTTGTGGTAGAGTAGAACTTGGCTCCAGTCAGTTATGAGTAAACTGGACTTTAGGCCTATCAGTTATGAGTAAACTGGACTTTAGGCCCATCAGTTACGAGTAAATTGGACGTTAGACCCTTCAGTTTTGAGTAAATTGAACTTAAGGCCCTTCAGTTATGCGTAGCTGTCCTGCACTATGGTCTCTACGTTACTGGGCTCATCATACTAAATCATTGAACAGAATAGCAGTTTTTGGTGAGATGAATGATCCTCATGGTTTCTTTTGACCGGGAATCTTGTTTGTGAGTTTCGCGTTTTTCTTGAAGGCTGCCTTATAGTCCAGATTTTTGTTGTGTTTGGCTCTTTTCTGAATAGTCCTCATCTATACAGTAGCTTTTTTCCTAGCCAACCGTCAGGAACTCGTCTTCTTGTGATTACTTTCATATTTTCATGTTTTAATAAACATTTCAGTTGGTTATTTCTGTTATGTTCTTTAGGATGACACATTAAAAAAAAGTCTTCAGAAGATGCTGCTTTGTATTATCTTTCTGTTATCAATCAGTTTATGAGAAATGTGATATAGATTGCAAAATGCCATATATGTTATTGCAATCCTGATTTTCCTGTGAAAGAATCAAAGATTGTGAGCTCTTTGTATACACACTGAATCCTTTTTCTTTTGTCGACAGTGTTCAATCTTAATTCATACTCTTAGTTGACTTAGGCCTCTTTCACCCACATCGAGCAAATATCTTCCATGGCGCCGTGCATTGAAATAACCACAACAGTCTATGGACACTTTCATACTTATCGACCAAGGCATGCCGCTGTGTACAACCACCTTGGTATGGGCGGCGTATGTTTCATTCTGGCATGGCTCAAGGTGTGACTAGGCACATTCAGGGGATGGACCCATAGAGTTCTACGGCATCATATTTTTCTTCTTTTCTAGATACAGGTAATATAAGCACCCCAGTTCCAAACGCCTGTCCTCAATGATAGACTAGAGCCAAATGAAGCTAGGTGATGAATTGTTGTCCATACGCCAAAATTAAAGTCGATGTGTGTGAACACAGATGCTGTGTCGACCGCGGCGGACAGTGTTTGGTTGATGTGTATGAAAGAGGCCTTACACCATCTCACAAGGTGTTCATTTTACAAATTACCCTCGTACCAGTAGTTTCCGCTTACATTTCTCATCACAATCTCTGCATACATCTCTCAGAGCCTCATGGAGCAAAAGGACGATGCATCACTAGAGCCTATGTCCAATTTGAAGACGTTGTTGTCAGACTTACAGGTATGTGATCAGTGTCAGAGATATTTTTATTCTCCTGAAAATTTTTGACATGTGAGAGATTTCGAAGTGGAAGTGATGTAGATCCATGATCTGTTTCTGCTTTGTTTCCTTTTTCATTGTTCCCATACTGCTCTGCTCCTGGAGACTTTTTTTAACTGATAATACAGCCATTTCAACTGAAAACCTAGTATCTAAACTTTACAAAATATTTGGTTGCAAACTAGGAAAAAAATACTTTCAGCTAGTATAAAACTTCTGTTCGAATTGTCTGGTCTCAGTAGTGTTTGCATGTATTCATTGATGTACCAAACTAAATCACACTAAATCACATCCCGAAAAACAAGTAGCTTTGATTGCCATATATATATATAGGCCTTATATATATATATATATATATATATATATATATATATATATATATATATATATATATATATATATATATATATATATATATATATATATATAATATATATTACATATTAGGGTTTTAAAAAAAAATTCAAACAACATTGTACAAACAGTAACTTATTGCTTTTGTTTGAGTTGGGGGGATGATGACATCTTGTGTAATCCCATGGCCATTGGTATATACTGACATGGGCATGGGGATCAACACCTTGAACGGAGTCCCTGGGTGTCTAACAGGTGTCTGTATTTGTTATTTTCTGGTAAACCTCTTAGCTTTAGCACTGATATGACCTAATTGCATTTCAAGTGCTATATATCTCTCACTTAAAAACTAATAGGGTCCTGACATGAGACTACATATCGACCCCAGAAGTGCTTGTCGAGTTAAAACTTTATGTAACAGTCTGCTCAAGCTCGTAGTAAGGGTCAGGTGTAACGAGAATGGACACAGGTAGAAACTTGGGCTGATTTGTCACCCCCACAGGACTGGGGGAGGGTTGGTTGGTCCTCAGTAACTCTCTACACTCACCTTCGTCCACAAAGTTTCTGGGCTAGTATTATTCTGGTAGTAATGATATAATGTTTAGCCGGATATATATGACCAGTCAATTAATTTAATTCATTTATCTTCTTTGTGGAACCTACTAATTGATGTTCATGTTTGTGGGGAGATGAATGTCTACTAGTCTGCCAAATTTCTGTTGTTTCAGCGCACAAGACAACTCCTTCTCACAGCTAACCACACGGTGCAGGCACCGTCAGTGAGCGACATTGAGGCTGCCAGTGTGCTCAGTGACAGTTTTGACAAGTGTAAACATCTGTCTCTTTGTTTGAGGAACTAATGTTTATCATTATCCTTGACCACCAGCTTCCTGCGTGAGCCAGACATTATCTAAACTTGGAATATAATTGATGTTGAATTGTTGATCTATTTGTCATTGTTGTTGGATCAGTCCTCTGGTCTTTGAGCCATCCAAGTGCATGTGTCTGATCAGAATACATTAAAGAACCCTGCACATGATCTGGCAATTCAGTTAGTTTTTTACTTTTTTATCCCTTTTATTATATTCTCCATTGCAGTAGATGCAAGGCCTCTACAGCACTACGACAGTTCGTTCCGGGACAGACCTGTCTGGAGTTTGAACCTTTGACTTTGAGTGTAATGTACTTCACCTGTTGGGACCGGACATTCTTGTCGATTTTCAGTCCCGAGCGTTTGTGAATTTTTACTAAGTCGGTAGGACAGGACTATCCCAGTCCCGGGGTAATACCGTCTGTGATTATAGAAAAATATAGCTGCCTACCCCATTAAGACAAAACTGTCCCAGACTTGGTGGCGCCTGCTGTCAAGATCGTGGAGCTTGCGCGTTGTGACGTATAATCACTTTAAAATTTGCCGCCACGCAGGATTAAACTTGGGGCACAAAATTTTTTTAATAATAATCGCATCTCAAAACTGATTCCATATTCGGAATCAGAGTCTTAAAATAAGCAAAATAGCTCCCGAAGAACCTGATTTGATGCGATACAATGTAAATTTTAGCAAATAGTTTAATTTTTAATTGATGGTCAATGGTAAAGTTGTGTATCAAGGTCACTTGGTGCATTGCACATCTGCAGGAAAGTCAAAGCTTCTACACACAACACGGTGCAGTAGGCCCCTATGGTCATGTTTTGCATCTCAATTCTCCACTTTATTGTCAGCTGCATTCCCCGGTTGTTTCTAAACAGTCTGTTCTCATCTAAATGGATGTTGATCCAAATTGGATAGAAAACTTTATTTAAGTAAACCATTTTTGTACAACAAGGCTGACGTTGGCTATTGCAATCGAGACATAAAGACAAGAAGCCTAGTACGGGCGGAATGGTAAAACGCACATGCGCACAAAAAATATAATTTAACTTCGCAATCGGGCATTAACTGATTCCGTCCATATGGCTGCTGACAGCGGCTCTGAGTTTTTCCGCTACAGTGGAATCCTGTGATAACGAGAGGGAAGGGACCGGTACAAAATGTCCATTATAGCTGGATTCTCGTTGTAAGGGATCCAGTAATAAATTCAAAGGAAATAATAAAGTAGGCCTAATCTATGAGTTTGTTGTTCTGTTTATTTATTTTTGCTATCTCCTCTGATGATGGTTTTGTTCAACATGACCTCTAGGTCTTATTTGATCAAAAATTGAATCAGGTTTCTTTCTCTAGTGTTGGCGATGTTGACAGCTCGGCGTTGGCTATCAGAACGAAAGTTCTCTAGGCTAACTCGCCTGCTGTGTTTTCCCCCACCCCACCCCACCCTGTGGTGCATTCCTGCGTCTGCTTGCGCACGGCACACATTCGCTCCATGATCCATCACAGAACTGTAACCTATCACGGTTTTGGAGAAGTGAGAGGCATGATAAATGATAGTGATAGGCCTAGATAATCTAGACTAGGCTTGTCTGTCACTATCAGGCAATGCGTTCTGCTTCACAACGGCTTGTCTGCGCGTGCCGCACCCTCCCCACTCATTCGCTCTGGCCTTCATCTTTGGCACACATGGGCTCTCCCATTCTTTGTTTTGCTTGATCACAAACAAGTTTCTCAACTGGCGATGTTTTACATAATGTATAAATGGCCTATACGCTGTGCACAGCGGCAGGAATATTCCGCTATAACCAACTCGCACGTTCATTTGATTGCGCTATAGCAGTATTTTATTTACAAAGATAAAGAGAGGAAAAAAACGGGGTTTTAGAATACTGTCTTTATAACAGACTTCTCGTTCTTTCAGGACTCGTTATAAGTGGACTCCACTGTACCGCCATTCGATTGCTGTGAGCGGCTCAATGAAATCCGAGCGAAATCCAAAACAAATGTGCACTTTTTAACATAGTTCCTACTTTTTAAGTTGTCGAAAGGAAGTAGAAATTGTAAACAAACCTGACCTCAATCTCTGAGTGCCAAAATCTATTGAAACTCCGCAAAATTCCTGCAAAAATCGTTTTGTTGTCACTATGTAAGGGTAAACAACATGGAGCCAGGTATAATAAAAAGGCCCTTCAATGAAAGATATTCAATTAAATTTGTGAAATTCTTGCATAAATGTGTGCTAGGGTGATATCGCTACAATTTTGTGTTGATTCCTATGGATTATAAGGACTTGTACTGTAGAGCTGAGAAAATGCGGTAAGTCGAAATTTTCGAAGAGGTGTTGCAATTTTTTTACCTCATTCGTTTTTGTCTGAGGGAAAATACAATACAAACAGAATATAGGTCATTGTTATTGATATAAACAGATTCTTCTATTAATTCCCATCAGTTTGGTATGACAATACATTATATTAGAGTAACTTACAGCTTCACAGTAATGCATTAAATAGATGCACCCCAGGTTTAAAACTGAACAGGGAAAAATAATTCAGTCCAGAGCCTGAAAAAATCATGGATGGAATTAGTTAAATGGCGTTCCCCGCATGATTTTAGCTAATTTTGGGTCCCTGATCACGAAAATCTTATTTGAATGATTTTGACAATATTTAGGAAATTTTTGGAATGCATTTTTAACTCCGCCTCGGGCAACAACAAAAAAGCCGCCTTACGCGCCGGATCAGTCCTGTCCTAGTGTGGTATCTGTTTTGACATGCAAAAAATCGACTGTGGGACTGGACAGTCCTGTCCGAGACAAGAATGTCGTAGTGCGGTAGTAGCCTAAGAGTACCGGTACATAATATATTATTTCTTGCTTGCCATAGTAAGTACTCTATTGGAAACGCAAACTTCTCAAAGGAGATAAAGCTTGATATGATAAAATGTATTTGTTTTATTTTTTCAAACTTTCTGACAGAATGTATTCAAAAGCATAAACATATAATCCAATCCACAGTGAAAATGCCTCAAAATATATAAACATATCTGATCCTCTGTGAAAATACTTTACATCCTTGCATGAAGGCTGATGCATCCCCTTACACACATGACCAGACATTAGATACATTTTTTTCATGTCACACGGTATGATCATTTTTGCAAAACTTCCCTTCAAATTCAAAGCACTGTGGAGAAAAATCTTTTAATTTATTGCTCTTAAAAAATGTATTTTGTAATCCAACATGACGGTCCCCAAGTCTAATCTGCAGATACAAAAAGCAAGAAAATCTTCTCTTTACTTTAAGACAACTATAGGCCTGAACCTAGGCCTTCTCAGGGGAGGCCATATATCCCGGACGACTGGCCTCTGCATTGGAGGCCTACCACGTTCCCGGAGGGTCAATGCGAAAAGCGGCGATAGACTAATGCGCTGGTGCGGGTGATTGAGCATTCTCGCGCTGTACTCACTGGACTGGCCTACATGGAACCTTACTTAAATTCAATGTATTTTTGTTGTTGCTGCTTTGTTGTGAGAGTTTATCCGCTCTTATAACAAAGGAAGATCACACCAGTGACCGAGTGTATCAATTCGTCAACATGAAAATGAATTACGTTCGCATTTTACCATGAAATACAGACCGTGGCACACAAGTGGGATAACTTTGGTTCTTCACTTGCAACGGATAGCCTACAAGAGACACCGTTCTCATTCCACATGTTTAAACAAACAATTTCACACACACACACACACACACGTCGATCTTCAGATGGAGTGCACATAACTGAAAACAATCAGCTGTTGATAAAAAAAGACGTCTCTTACCTCAGAAAAAGTTACTGTTTGCATGATCAGGATGACAGCTTTGCTATTTTTTTCTTCGCCTGTCCTAATATTTGCCAACTGCATGAGCTTAGGATAACAATATCAAGATGGAATGTCAATGGAAAGTCCCACAAAATCGCCACAAATCAACTTCTGCAGTTTTTCTGTGATTTCCAACAACAAAAAAACCCTACCCAACAAATGGTAGATCTAGAGTAGTGCAGGCCAACAAAGCCTCTCTGGAAGGTTACACACGAAGTGCAAAATTTCCTCTAGGCTAACTGACTCTAGCATGTGACAACATCGCAAGTGAAGCCTGGATGCCTGATGTGCCTTAGTTTGTGAAGGTGGTGAACAACCATAAAATACATAGAAAATGCAAAAACAGGGCCATCTCGAGTTCTGCTGAGCGAGACACGTGTGTATTTAATTATAATCTTTACTCTTTGCAACATTGCCAATGGCTGTCAGCTTCATTATATTCATATATCCATTGTTTGATAAAACTGAATCGAACTTGAAGGCATCTCTCTTTCTTTAAATACATTCATTTCATCAATATCAGTAGCTCTAGAAGCTGAACTTGTTGTAGTCGCTCTTTTTTTTTTCGGAGCTGGTGTGCCACAACATGATGGTGGTACTTCTGGAAATATTGATGGAGGCTTTGTGGGCACTATAAATTATAAATCTTCCAGCCCGTGTCAAAGGTACATCAGGTGGGAAGTGCAGAGAGCAAACTCCCATGTACTATACATTGTAATCCGTGACATCTTCTACCATGATTAATTTATTTGGAACACTTTTGATCCACTGTGCTTTTTTCTTAATCTTTTGGAAATCTATATTATTATTTTGCTATCTCCCTTTTGGCTGGCATAACCACTTCTACAGCCCTATCCCCTACACTCTCTTCCCATGTTCAAATTTGAAATGTTGCTCACACGGTTCTTTGCGCTGAAACGGAGACGTCAGCTGAAAACTTTTTCACAATAACATTAGACTAGTAACAATAACACTCAAGATGAAAGAAAACTAGACTCTCGGCTTGAACACTAAAACACAAAATATAAGAACAAATTTAATCCTTAGAATTGAGTGTAGTGAAAATACATCCAATCAAACGAAAAAAACGTGTACATCCCAAGAGCACTGAACGAAACAATGAAGAGGCTAGGAGATTAGACAGACTAAACGGCTACACACTACAGACTACACACATTACTATTACACTATCGGCACGCAAAAGCGTAACGCAAAAATGTTCCACCACCTGTATACGTTTTAGTATTAGAGCATCTACCTATCGCCGCTTTTCGCATTTAATTGCCGCTTTTCACATTGATCCTCGATAAGAT